AAGTCCCTGGTCATTCCTGGTTGTCCTGAAAACTGCAGGATTCAAATGTTAGAGACATCCAGGATCTCTCAGGTCTAAATGTCTTGAATTCCACTGGATGCATCACTTTCCATGCCTGAATTGCATCTGGTTTTCTAATGACACTCTGGGTCACATGGCAGACTTCTGCTAGGTCAGGTTTTTGGACCCAGCTGGAATCACACAAATCTGGGCACCTGGGTTTGGACCCACACTCACCGGCCACTGTAGCAGTGCAGGAAAAATATGGCACTTTCCCTGATCTTGCAGGTCACTGGGAAATGTGCAGCATATCTCTCACACAAAAACAAAGAGTAGCTCACCTACTGGTTCAACTGTAGACGTGTGTGATCAATGTCATCTCTGCTTCAAGACACGCCTCAGTGCCACTTGAAGTGCAGGCTCTCTTAGATTATCAGACCTCCCCACAGTCATTTGCATCTGCAGCTGCCGGTGCCAGTGGCGGGGTTTTTCCTTTCCTTTATTTTTATTTTGTTTTACTCTGTGCAAGTTTCTGAGTCCCAGGCCATTCTGAGATTTCAGTATTAAATCCTTGCCCTCTTGCCTGGCACACTCCATGGAGCAGTTTGGAAAGTAACCTTTTTTATTCCATTATCTTGCTTTTTTCTCTAAAACTTTTTTTTAATAAGTAAATAAACATCCAATGTATAGAGCAATAATCCAGTCTGTGTATCTGTGTTCTAGGGGCAGGAATAAGGAATTTTTGGACCTTGAGAGGCAAATAAAACAATAAAACAACAACAACAAAAGACAAAAATGAAAACCCAAATTCAGGACTTATGATTTGATTCTAAAGGTTGAAGTACTTATGCCAACATGTTTGTGTCAGTTTTCTATTATTGATAAAAGATTGACATTCTGACTGAAGTGAGGTGAAATCTTAGAGTAGTTTTGATTTGAATTTCTATAATTGCTAGAGATGTTGAACATATTTTCATATATTTATTGATTGATTGTGTATCATCTTCTGAGAAGTGTCTGTTTAGTTCTTGGCCCATTTATTGATTGGGTTATTTATTTTTTTGGTGTTTAGCTTTTTGAGTTCTTTATAAAGCCTAGAGATAAGTGTTCTATCTGATGTGCAGGTGGTAAAAATTTGCTCCCAAGCTGTAGGCTTTCTATTCATCTCACTAATTGTTCCTTTTGCTGAGAAGCTTTTTAGTTTGAATCCATTCCATTTATTAATTCTTGATTTTAATTCTTGCATTATAGGAGTCTTATTAAGGAAGTTGGGGCCTAATGTGACATTTTCTTCTATTAGGTATAGGGTCTCTGGCTTAATTCCTAGGTCCTTGATCCACTTTGAGCTTAATTTTGTGCATGTAGAGAGAGAGAGGGGTTTAATTTCATTTTGTTGCATATGGATTTTCAGTTTTCCCAGCACCATTTGTTGAAGAGACTATCTTTTCTCCAATGTATGTTTTTGGTACCTTTGTCTAATATAAGATAACTGTAATTATGTGGGTTATTTTCTGTGACCTCTGTTCTGTACCATTGGTCTTCCAGTCTGTTTTGGTGCCAATACCAGGGTGTTTTTGTTACTATTGCTCTGTAGTATAGTTTAAGGTCTGATATAGTTTAAGGTCTGCTTCACTCTTCCTGCTATGTGTTGCTTTAGCTATTCTGGGTCTCTTATTTTTCCAGATGAATTTCATGATTGCTTTTTCTATTTCAATGAGGAATGCCATTGGTAATTTGATTGGAATTGCATGAAATCTGTATAGTGCTTTTGGTAGTATGGTCATTTTGACAATATTAATTCTGCCTATCCAAGAACAAGGTAGATCTTTCCATCTTCTAAGGTCTTCTTTAATTTCTTTCTTTAGCGTTCTGTAGTTTTCATTATAGAGGTCTTTCATCTCTTTTGTTAAGTTGATTCCCAAGTATTTTTTTTTTTTTTTGAGGCTATTGTAAATGTGATAGTTTTCCTTGTTTCCTTTTCAGAGGATTTGTCACTGATATGCAGAAATGCCTTTGACTTATGGGTGTTGATTTTATGTCCTGCTGCTTTGCTGAATTCATTTACTAGTTCTAGAAGTTTTCTGGTGGAATTTTTTGGGTCTTCTTGGTAAAAATTGTTTCATTGGCAAATAGTGCCAATTTGAGTTTTTCTTTTCCTATGTGTATCCCTTTAATTTCATTTTGTCTAATTGCTCTGGCCAGTGTTTCAAGAACTATGTTAAATAGAAGTGGTGAAAGAGGGCATCCCTGCCTTGTTACAATTTTTAGAGGGAATGCCTTCAATTTTTCTCCATTTAGAATGATGTTGGCCTGGAGCTTAGCATAGATAGCATAGATAGCTTTGACACTGTTGAGATATGTTCCTGTTATCCCTAGTTTTTCTAGTGTCTTGAACATGAAGGGGTGCTGTATTTTGTCAAATGTTCACTCCAGTCAGAATGGCACCTATTAAGTATACAGACAACAATAAGTGTTGGTGAGAATATGGGGGGAATGTCCACTCACACATTGCTTGGTTGGACTGCAAAATGGTGCAGCCAATATGGAAAGCAGTATGGAGATTCTTTGGAAAACTGGGAATGGAACCACCATTTGACCCAGCTATCTCACTCCTTGGTCTACACCCAAAAGATTTAAAAACAGCATACTACAGGGACACAGCCATATCAATGTTTAAGGCAGCACAATTCACAAAAGCTTAACTGTGGAACTAACCTAGATGCCGTTCAGTAGATGGATGGATAAAGAAAATGTGGTATATATACACAATGGAATATTATTCAGCATTAAAAGAGAATAAAATCATGGCATTTGCAGGTAAATGGAGTTGGAGAAGATAATGCTAAGTGAAATTAGTCAATCCCCCCAAACCAAATGCCGAATGTTTTTTTTTAAATATAAGGCAGCTAATTCATAGTGAGGTTGGGAGCATGGGAGGATTAGAAGAACTCTAGATAGGGCAAAGGGGTGAGAGGGGAAGGGAGGGGGCATGGGGGTAGGAAAGATGGTGGAATGAGATGGACATCATTACCCTAAGTACACGTATGAAGACATGAATTGTGTGAGCTCTCAGGCATCCAGCGAGGAAGTTCACGGAACAGGGTGGAGGAAAGTGTGGCTGCGGAGTCACTAATTAAGACCTCTGGAGACCAAGCAGGAAGCAGGTCTGATTTTATTGCGCAGTTACCATGTATATATACTCAGGCATAGTTAAGCAGATTACAGGCAGCCACCAATAAAATTTCTGGCTTGCTGTCCTTGCAGTGACCAATGGAAGAGCAGGCCATAGGGAAGCACAGGGACTGCAAAACGCAGCTCACGCCCACTGCTGTGTCTACGGGTGCCCTGCCACTCACACGCATAGCACGAGGGGAGTGGCCTGCCACTCAGATGTCCGTAATGTATGCCATGTATGCAGTACTCCATGCACTTGTCCCCACAATGAATGGTGTGACTATACTTTGTATACAATCAGAGATATGAAAAATTGTGCTCTATATGTATAATATGACTTGTAATGCATTCTGATGTCATATATAACAAATTAGAATAATTTTTTAAAAATTATGTGCTTAAAACAGCAAGCACTTATCCAACATAGAGGTTTGACACAATGTGACTGAATTCACTTTACTAGAGCTTCTAGCTGCCTGTAGTTATCTTTTAATCTCTTTGGTTGTTGGTAGAACTTAGTTTCTTGCTGTTTAAGAACTGAGGTCACTGCTTTTTTGACATATATTTCCTTTTATCCTTAAGTCAACAACATGTCCAGTCTTTTTTGTGCGTCAAATCTCTCTGACTTTCCAATTAGTGAATCTCTCTATCTTCTAATGGCTCATGTGATTGCACTGGATTCTCTTGGATAATACCCAACATTTTCCCTGTTTAAGATCCAACTGCAAAATTTCTTTTTCCCTGTAGTGTAATATATTCATTGTAAGGAATGAGGGTATAGGGCTTACTGCCTACCACAACCATGTAAAGAAACCATATAAAGGAATCACCAGTGGACTGAGATAAATTCTACTTTTTTATTTTGGCTCAGTCTGGAAACAGAACTAAATATTGCTTGAACTTCAGAGTTCTTTGAAGTTCTTAGGGAATATTACCTACACCTTCTGCCAAACTCAATATTTTCAGTTTAGTGCCAAATGAAAGCTTGGATTCTAGGACTGCCCCTAGAAAGTATCATGCTCTGAATCACCCTTCTTACCTTCTTTTTCACTCTTTCTGTAAAATTACTGGAAGCTTCTGCTTCTACTTTCACATAATAGATGATTTTAGTATTGACTGCAAAGGAAATAAGATATCTTAAAAAAACATGAGATTTTGGATTTTGGGAGCTCTGATTTTTGTATCTAAACATCTTTATAGCTGAACACTTTGTATCTATGCTTTAATCCTGATTCAAATTTCCAGAAGAAGGCCTAATATAACACTCCTATTTGACTTTGTACCATAACATATATATTCTCTTTTCTGAGAAAACTTGCTTATACATGTATCACTTCAACATTTTTAGTCTGTTGTCCATTATTGAATCTGATACCCAAAGCTGGTCACCCTTAGCAGTTGGCAGATTCTGGTGTAACTTAGGACACGTAACCCCCATGCAGGTCAGGATCTGATTTTTTATGCTGCTTTCCAATATAACCTACCCAATTTTGTATTTTACTTACTTCCCTTTATTGTAAAAAGTCTCCTTTAGTCAAGTCTGTCTTTTTATTTTCTCATAAAAATACACTCATTGTTTTTTCCTTCAGGCATTTCTTTTTTTTTCCCCTTCAGGCATTTCTATAACCAAACACACAATGAATTCTCCTCATATATAATCCAACACTTTTTTCTTTCTCCTATGTGAAGCTTACTCAGACCAACATTGCTAAGTTTTATCATATTCTGAACTCACTCAGCTATTGATTGCTGTTAATTTTTGTCTCAGGTTTCTATTTGGAATCATGTAAATGGGAGAAATGATTATTGAATGAATGAGGAAGTAATGATAGAAACTGATAAGAAAAATGTTTATTTATCAAATCTTTGAAGATGCAAGAAGAGTTTCTTTTCTGTGAAGTCCTGTGAACAGAGACTATATAGCAAAGTACTTTTTGTTCACGTAGTTCTCAGGCATTTCCATGATCTGTGATAGTAGAAAGAAAAGTAAATTAAGATAAACTTGGATTTCCATGAAGAGAAAACATTCCTTTCCTTAAATTTGAGCATCATAGTGCCTAAGGAAACCCAATTAGTAGGAAATGAAATCTCTTATATATAATTATCATATAAGCAGCCTTCTAAGCCATCTGAGATTTGACAGAGTTCTTGGTTCTTCTCAAATGCATGTTTTTCTGCAACAATACACAGTGTGAGCCATATAATACCTATGAAGAATATTTAGCCAGAATTTTATGAAGGAAGAGATTTGGGAGACAAACTAGAGAAATTCTGACTTCATTTTGAAGGAGTATGAATCATTTACCTTTGCTGCAAGGAGCACTGTACTCAGCAATTGCAAACTCATCTGAAAAAAACAAACATTATATGAAGTCAGTGAAAGAATCTTTGCTGTTGGAAGAACTTAATTGTATCAGAAATGTCAATGTCATTCACTTGATGCACCACTTACTACCTTATATTTTGTATGTATCAAAGACAAAAAGGGGAGAATCAAACTTGGAGACAAAATGAAGTGATAAAGAGAATTTAATGTAATAAATCACCCCTATACATTTTTTAAACCTATGTTTCTGATGAGGAATTTTAATTTCTATGTGAAAGTTGTCCACACTTACCTGTCTCATAGTAATCATAGACTTTCACTATGGCTGGTTTCAGATCTCTTACTGGAATATCTTGCAGAACTGTGAAGGACAAGTTCAGTGTCTGATTTGACACCTATAAAGCAAAAGAGAGTTAAATGGACTTTCCAGGAAGTTTTCTTTTCTCCTTGGATGAATAAGCATTCATCTGCTTTTTTTTGGGGAAAAACCCCTTTATCAACTAACTGCATACTACAAGATCCTTAATTGTACAAAAGTCCTTAGACTAGAAGGGAAATTTGCCAAAACATTTCTTAAATAATGAACACAATTTATATAACTTCCATCAGTGCCATAATGTGGCTCTGTGCATGGGGGAAATACTGTATGCTTTTTGTTGGTTAACTGGCTAAGTCTTTTTTTTTTTTTAAACTATTCAAAGATTTGGTATAGTTTTGCTTTTCCATTTTTTGGAAGTACTTGTGTAGACTTGAAGAGGTATGTAAATAACATACCACTGCTGGTTTGTTTTAAGTTTGTTTTTGCTTTTGTTTTTAATAATGATTTTGCAAAGTGTGATTCCTATCAATATAGGCATGCATAAACTATGTTGCCATACCTATCTATAAAATCACATTGGTTCATTGGTGAACTGATTATCATTATCTTTATTATTATTGGTTTTTATTATTTTATGATCCAAGTCTAGCTGAGATTGACAGTGTTTTTCCCTTTTATATTGTTGATGGGGATGCTGATATAATAATTGACTAATTGCAATTGGTTACTTCCTTACATTATCCAGTATCTTCAAAATAACTTGTGGACATAATGAAAACATTTTGTAGAAAATCCCTTGCTTATAGGGTTCAAGAAATATTTATATCCAAATATTAGAATAAGCTACTTCTACTCATAATCCCAGGTTTAAATAAAAGAGAAGAAAAACATTCATTTGAGTTCTCAGATTTCTAGTTTAGAAGGGATGTCTACAAAACGCATGAACTTACTTCCAAGACAACATCTTTAGAAGGATTTTTATTATATTTTTTTCAGCTACACTGGCAGGGCTCTCACCTTATCCAGGTAAATCAAGACATGATTGTTGCTGACTTCAGTCCGGTTCACATGGTTCAGTCTTTCAAGCTGAAGAAAATTAAAATAACACAATGTTAATAAAATAAATGAAACCCCTAGAGGATCCAGAGGGGGGAAAATTCTTATTCCGAATTCCTTCAAATGCTTTTTGTAAGTAAAAACATGTAGGAAAAATAAAAATTAAAGGTAATTTGGCTGAAGAGTTTAATAGTAGTATGGCACATGACCCATGGTAAAATTGATTTATCTGAAAGGAACTAAATAGCCTAAACTTGGGAATTACTCCTATTTCATATTGTTTATTTGTGATGGAAATTTTTTGTTTTGTTTGACTTAGAGCAATCTCTTCTCTTAACTGCTGTAATATTTATGATAGTTCATGTAAGTCATTTTCATGTTTTTTCTTGGGTTCATGTTCATGTGCATTAAGATTCTAAGCTCTGTGCAAGCAGGAACCTATGATATTTTTTACCTTAGCCATCATGACTTCTGACAGAACACTCAGCACTTGGTGGGAATTCATACAAACATGCCAAATTATAATTGTGAGTCTGGAGATAATATAAATCATTGATAGAGGTTGATTTAATATTGTTTCAATAACAGTATTTTCTTGGTGTAGGGATACATAAAACATTAAATAGAACAGAGTATCCTGGGCTTATAATAAACCTACCATTTTCACTGTTGGTTTCAGGGGGATGAAGCCAGAAACCATCTTTACATCAGCAATGACCATGTTGGAGGCAGGACGACTCCCAGTGTATCTAAGAACCCAACAAAGGAAGGGATTAGGGTTTTCTATGTTATTAAATATTCCCGTTTTTCTATGTCATATTAAGTACTCTACAAGGTACACATTAAATCCTCCCAAATATGCCATCCCAATGGTTAGAAAAGTGGTAGTGCATAAGAATTTTTAATAGGACCTGTTACAGCTATAGAGACCAGCCCTACTCAAGAACTTATTGAATCAGAATTTCAAATGTGTGGATTCTGAGGATCTGTGTTTTAAGAAAGCACCACAAGTGATTCTTTGACTGGGGGCCTCTAATCTATGCCAGTTGTTTATTACATACACTTATCTTAATATTTTCCCAGCCAAATTATAATATTCTTACAGACACTTTTTTTTTGAGGTTGGTATCTATTTAAATGTATATAAATATTTTTCCCTCCCAAATTGATTGTATTCTATGTAACTTGAGATTTATTCATTGCTTGTTGGAATTACAACCAAAGATTCACTCTTTTCTCCTATTCAAGCTTTGCAAGAATTCTCTCTTTGCCATAACTATATCAAGTACAACAGGATTTCAGGATTTCATTAGATTGAAGGAATTCAGGTCATAGGTAATGTGATATTCTTTTTTTTTTTATTGAGGAGAAACATTAACTTTTAAGTAACATTAGACAATAATAGGTCCTAGAGGCAGGGGATGGACAATTTAAACTTCATCACCAAGAAATTCTATTGCACCAACATAAAAGAATATATTACCTTTTAAATAAATGCAGTGTGAGCACTTACTGTCACAATGTTTAGCTTGAAGAGGAGTCCAGGTAAGAAGACTGGTTGTTACTCCTAGAATTAGGTGATATAGTCAAAAAATCTTACCTGATATTCATTGAGATCTGGAAGGTGGTGTGGCTTTTGGGTCCATCACAAGTTTGGGGAAGAGTCAGTACCTCTAAAGCAAATGGGAAGTCTTCCTTGTCTGGGAGAATATTGTATTTCAAGGATGTCTGTGGAATATTAAAGACAAAATCTCTTTTTTCCTCTTATCAGAATTCCCGTCATCTTCCTCAGTTCTGATTTGCCTCCATGGTTTGCTGAGCTAGGGTTTTTGGGTGATAACAGATACTGTGTAAACCCTTGTCCTCCTTTACCCTGAGAGTCTCACCTGGAGGTAGACACATCCTTCTCCCGTCACTCTTGCACCGTATTCCCCAGGCACTGTTGGTAAGGAGACCCGCTGTAGTAACAGGCGGTTGTTGTTGTCCACTTGGAATTTTGAGGTAAATGTCCCTGAAGACTGGATGGTGACCTGTGCAGCTTTCCCAGTCCTAGTAAAAGTAGCTGCTCCATATTTGGACAAAGCATGGAGAGTCACCACTGTGTCCTGAAAGAGGAGTGGGAGAACCCACTTAGATATTGCAATGGTTTGGAAATGGTTTGTCCTTTTGGGTTCACGTGTTGAATGTCTGGTCCTCAGAGTGGTGAAATTGAGAGGTGGTGGAATCTTTTAAGAGGTGAGGCCTAGTGGGAGGTCCTTAAGTCATTGAGGGCACTGCCCTTGGAAGGATGAAGGTAGTTCTTATAGGACTCCTTGGTAGTTCTTGTAAGGTGGGTATTATTAAAAAAAAAAAAAAAAAGCCTAGCCCCATCCAGATATATGGCTTCCTTGTTTTGAGATGTTATCTCATCTTCGTGTTTAGATACATGGTTATATAGTTAGACTTAGGAAGTTGGATGGGTAAAAACAATTCCTTATGCTTCTAAGAATGAATGTGTACTAAGAGGCAGATGGGGGCATGAAATGTGTCAGAGGACCTGAAAATGGAGATTCTCAAGGCAAGATTATTGTATTTAGAGTTCCCGTGAACAGTTTTGAAGGGATTCCTAAAACTGGAGAAGAGTTGGTAGGAGACTTCCCCCTTGTTCTGCTGATGCCACACCACTACTTTAGGGAGGCAGAGTTTTGAAAACAGGAGACTGTGATAACACAGGGACAGGGTGCCAGAATTCTATGCATTTTCTTTTTAGTCATCTTTGACTTATATAATTATCCCTATATACTGACAATCTTTCAAGGTATTTTCATTTTCATTTTTTTCTCCTGTGTTTGCCTTTTTCTACTTGAAGGTTAATTGAAGATTCTGGCAAATAACCAACCTGGGTGGAGGAGAAACCACCATGGGAATTCTGTTGCTTTGTGATCCACTTTACAATGGGCACTGCAGAAGTCAGGTCCTTTGAGGTCGGGGCCGGCTGGACTGTGAGGAGAGTGAGGAGCACATAGGCCGTCATCTCTACCTCAGCAGAGGGAGCCTGGGGTTGATACAAAAGTCCCTGTGGTGCCTTGGGTTTCTGAGGCCGTGTCCAGTGGATAGTATTATCTGGGTGGGAGAAATAGATACTCATAAGTGACTAAATATTCATATTTATTTTAAGATGAAAGTATCCAAATTGGAGCTGAAGAGAGGGTTTCTTTCTGATTGTAATATTTCAAACCTCATAGAGACACGTTCCCCTCAATGAAAATATGAACTTGGTGTGTTTCAACCAAGTTAAGGCAGCTAATGTTGCCAGAGTCAGAACCTTTTGCCATCTGTACTTTGAAATAGTTACTACAGTTGGGATGGCAGAGCAAGTTCTCTCACTGGTCGTGGCTATTTCCTATTTCTGATGTTGTTTAAACCATATCTAGAATATGTCAAGATTTTTGTCAGGCCTGTCCTTAGAGGTTTCTTGTGGGTATCACAGATCACATGAAATAATACAGTTCACACTCATTAGATTTAAAAAGAAAAAAAAATTAATCCTTAAAATACTAAAAATTGAACTACTACATGAAATACCACATGGGTGTGAAACATTGGGAGCAGTGGGAGCTGATGTTCACTACTATGGGATGTTGACTGCTCCTTTGGAGCAATTTGGCAATATTCAGAAATGGAGAAAGTGTGTTTAGCTTATGATCAAAGTATAATTTTGGGAAACACATGTACAATGAGATAAACACCTGAATATTCACTGTAGTGTTGTTTGTAATAGCAAAAGGTAACAAAGGATTCATGAGGAGAAACTCAACATATAAATTATAACCTAATTATATATTATAATATATTGTACAGCAGTGAAAAGTAATGAACTAAATTTACAGGGACATGTGTGGAGATTGACATTAGTATAATGTTGAACTTAAAAAATAAAAGATGAACAAACATAAAATTAGCTACTTAAATGTAATTTACTGCATATCTAAAGGTGTGAAATATGAAAATTATAATATTACTTAGGAATATGTAGCAGAAATATAAAGAAATCCATGAAAATTGTAATGAAAAATTCAGGATAATGACAACCTCTGATAGTAGAAGTGGTAACATAGGGACTTTTTTTTTCTGCATTGGTAATACTTTATTTCTTACACTGGGAGGGAGTTATATGGGTGTTTCTAAATATTCTTTATGCTTTTCTTGGTATATCTGAAACATTTACCAAATATTAAAGTACACTGCTAAAAGACAAAGGTAGAATACATTTTACTGGCCATTTTAATATCTGCATTTTATTTTCTATTTCTTTAATACCTCATATAGACCACAGTATATGTAGAAGAATTTTGTGAATATGAATAGATTGGTCAACATTATTGGTATTGTGAAATCAGATTAAAATATCAGAATTTGTTCATGGGGCAAATCCATGAATCTTTCCTTATGTTTAAGATGATATGATGGCATTGTGTAAGGGTTGGGTATAAGGAACTGATATCTTTGTAATAATAGCTAGTACTTTTATAGAATTCTCTTGGCCATATATTCTACTAGTGTTTTCCACGTATTCATTTATTTACTACAACAATCTTATGAGATAAATTATATTATTAGCCTCATTCTACTGATGAAGGAACTGAAACAGACAAGTTGCTGACTTGCCCATGATCACATACATAAGATACTTTGAAGCTAGTCTCCAGAGGCCAAACTTCTCACTACTAAATCTATCATCTCTTATATTTTGATGTCTGATTTTATTAAGGTATCCTGAATCTTATAAAAATATGATGTGGAATATATGTAAATATGATGTGGAATACATATATGTGTATATATATATATATATATATTTATATTTATATATAGTGTATATAAAAGAAGAGGGAGATAAGGATCATAAGAGGTAGGAGTAGGGAAGTTTTGTAATGTAGTTCTTGATACAGAGAATGTGGGATGAGAGAAAGATATAATGTGTTCTCTCACCTTCTTTTACAGCTTCCTCATCAAGTGAGTTCAGTACTTCTTTCCTCTTGTCCTGGTTATCTGCCAGGGCAAATGCATAGGCCAAAAGTGCCTTGGTGTAGACATGGGTGCCATGGGCTCCTTCCTTTGCCGACTTCCAGGCTGAATCCAGGCAAAACAAGGCATTGCGGACAACAGGATGCTGTGATAGGAGAACAAAAAGTAAAACTAAACTATGTGAAGAGGGATGCTAGCATTCCCAGGTTATCACACAGTTTATGACACAGGAGACAAAGAAGTTTTTTGAATACATTTGTTCATCTGTTCCTCATTCTAATGGATATTGAAAGAATAGATTTTGCTCTGCCATTCTCATATACACACATATACACATATACATTTTTTGTGGTACTGAGGATTGAACTCAGGGGTGTTTGACCACTGAACTACAGCCCCAAGACTTAAAAATTGTTTTGTTTTGAGACAGGGTCTTGCTGATTTGCCTAGCCTGTCCTGAAACTTATGATCCTCCTGCCTCCACTCCTAAGTAGCTGGGATTACAGGCATGTGTGACTGTGCCAGGGTGCTATTCTTACCTATGCAAGCCCAGAAACATAGACCATATCTTTAGGATTCTCCGGAGAAAAATCCTAAAGGGGGATATAGCCCAGAGGCATGACTGGGAAAGTACAAGTCTGTCTTAATAGATTGGCCAAATTCTCTGTTGGTCTGGAAGTCATTGACACTGCTTAGATGAAAGGCTGATAGTTGGGTTTCGGTAGGTTAGTGTTTCAGAGAGCAGGTAAGGGGTTTTGTTGCATGCAGAACTACTCTTTACCAGGGAAATGAGGTGGTACCTACAGTGACTGGGAGTGGAATCTCCAGAAGGGCTATGGTGATATAGGCCGAGAGGGTGACTTCATCTTCTACTCCTCCCTGTGAATATGGAAAAGGAAAAGACTTGAATAATTTAACTTTTCAGAATCTCATTGAACAGCTTGTTCTACTGAGCTGTGTCATGGAATTTATTTTTATTCATATCCATCCCCAATGACCTAAAGTATCACAAAAATTCTAAGTTCCATTCTCTCTTTCTTGGTGTTATCCAGGTTTTATTTTCCTTGGATGACTTCTGTCAGGAATTTCTACATTGTCACTTCTTTTCTTCACCCTTATAGATATCCTAATGGACACATCAAAACTAGCCCTGGAATGATTCACCTTTATGGCATTGTTGAGCAGTGACCCAGAGCTCCTGAAGCAGCCATTGTCCTTCTGCTTCTGGGAGAGCCAGGTGAGGGCTTGGGTAATGTGTGTTTCATCAATGAAGATATATTTTCGAGCCTGGGCAAAAGTCTTCAGTACAAAGGCTGTGAGCCTGTGGGGGAGCAAGTGATGATGATATTATATTGTCAGAAGGATTTTATAACCACATACCAACAATAGGCTTCCTATGACACTTCTCTACATAGAAGAGTAACATAACAGGAATTTTTGTGTACTTAGAATTCCTCTCTCCTTTAGTCTCCTAGTATCTGTAGGTCTCATATTTCCTATAGGTCTGGTATTTGCCACAGGAAGTCTAAGCATTTCTAACTTACTTATTTTTCTTAGTTACTTCAGGAGGAAGGGTTTTAGATCTCTCTTTTCTTCAGAGATTTTCTTCTATACCTGAAAGAATCTTCTATAATCAGCTTTTTTATGTAATAACTTTTAACTGGTTTTTGCCTAAGGGATTTAAAGGATAATGTCTCATATCACAGTCTCCTTAATTCTTTTCTCCTTTTAGTGATATTTTTCTCAGTCAAGATAAGCATGATCTAAGAAAACAATAAAAATTGAGTTAACGTGGTTTATCTGGAAGTAATATGTTCACTGACAATGTCATTTAAAAACTCATGGTTATGGGAGCCAATTTAGAAACAAACACTATGTATTTTATCAACAGGGTAAATTTGGGGAACAAGTCTAACACATTGTATTTAAACATCAGATTTTTGGCTTGTTACTTTGCTAATTTTTCTGTATTTATCTAGCTAGTATATGTCTAGGGTTTCTGTGAATACAAATGTGGTAATATATGAAAAAATTTGGCACAGAAATGAGAGCTCATAAAATTGCTCTTCACTTACCAGGTGTTGCCCTGGTTCCTGCCATATTTCTCCCCAAAGGTGCTATAAGAGCCATCTTGGTGCTTGTAGTTTAACTGTCTTTGGTAACCTGGAATGGAAGGTTAGTGAAACAATATGACAGATAAATGTGTATTCACAGGCTAGAGACATTATTAAAATGCTTTGGCCTCTCTTGTGCCTTTTGCTGAATATTTCTGTCATACTTTAGAAGGTTTTGAGTGCTAAAAATTTTGTTGGAGATTGGATAGTTTTTGTGAAATTAACCATCAGAGTATTCATACCATAGTAGCAATCATGGTAGGATAAACTGATGTATAATACATAGTATTGATAAGTAATTCAAGTGTACTGGGAAATAAATTGAAATAATATTGTCAGCTTTCTACTCACTCATTCAGTAACTCACCAGTGTTGAGATAGCCAATGGCTTTGGATTTGATCTCTGGAGTCAGCTGCTGTGTTTCATTTAGATAATCCAGAACATAGATGTTAGGAGCAAAGAGAACCATATTCTGTTCTCCACAACCATAAGGCATCTGGAGGAGATTCTGTGTGTTTTGCATTGCAGAGCCCAATATATCTCCTATGAAATGGGAGAGAGGGAAGTCATAAAGTTTAGAGATTATAGTCTATCTGAAGTATTAAAAGGAAAACAGTAATTAGCTGTGCTTGAAAATAATTAGGATTTTTAGGAAGGTGTATTTCATAGATAGAAATATGATCGGAAGCAATAAACAAACCCAAAGAGGGAAAACATTAAAATTATATCTGTTAATTTAAATAAATATTTATGGAAAAGAAATATAGTAGAAGCTGTTAATATCCAAGTTCACTTAGGGACTGGAAACTCACCCAATACTGAGACAGAGGCTTGGGCAGATTCCTCTACTACATTTGGTGGCAACTTCAGGGATAATTGTTCAGATACCTCAGCGCCTAAGGGAAGAAACAAATCAGTCATAGGGAAACTATTTCTGCAATATATGTTTCTGAAGATGCAATATATATATTTTATGATCCCTCAGTTAAAACTATGACTTACTCCTAAATTATTCCTAAAAATTTGGTCTTCTTTTTTGCAGAACTGTTTTCTTTAACATCTTATACATGGCTATTGGGATTCTAAGATATTCTGAATTTCATCCCTGAACACATTTTTTCCCCCTGTATGTAGAGTTTCATTTCAAAACAGATTGATAAGACCCTTGTAATGTTGCGGTTCAGTTGCGTTCATCCTATGGCTATGATAAGATCATCTATTTTTTTTTTGGCTGCCTTCACCCTCCTTAATCAATAATGCATTGTATAAGGAAAAAAATCCCCCAACAAAACCTGTATATATACATAAGCAAAGGAAAATTCCCCCAAAGCACTCAAATTCTACAATAATCTTATATTCTTTCTTCAATTTTCACCTTAATGAATATAGTATTTTTATGAAGACCTAAAAATGGGTATGAGGAGATGAAGATGAATAGCATTTGACTTCCTGAAAATAAAATAATTACTAAAGATGGACATATGTTTCTGTCTAAATGTTGGTGGATTATGTGAAGATGAAAATGAGAGAAGTGTAGTATTTGCTTTCATATTGCATCCCTTATCATAAAGTTAATATTGAAACTTTTGTGAGACAACAAACATCATTAGCAAACTGAAAAGAAAAATAACCAAGAGAAGGACAACATTTTGACTCATTTAAAATTAAATAATTGCTAGTGATGAACATACATCTAATGCTGTTTTTAATCTTGGTGAAGTACAAGAAGAAGAAAATTAGAGAAGTGTGGTATATATCTTCTCTTATTCATAATATTTAAGGTGTATATAAGAAATAAGATGTCATAAGAAAAATTTTAAAAATAGCCACATAAATGAAAATATATGCAATATAGTCAACTGATAAAAAAATCCAGTGTCATGCAAGTAAGGCTAAAAAAATTAAAATATTCAAAACACAAATGGTCAAGTGTTATAAAGGCAATTTATAAACATGCAAAAATAAGCTTATGTTCACTTGTGATTAGGGAAATATAATTTAAAACCACAACAAAATATTTTTAATACAACTTTTTTTTTGCAAAAAGGTGGTAATTAATGATTAAGTATACATTATGGAAATGTATACTGTTGGAAGTATAAATGTAAACTAAAGAAGGGATTTCTTTAGTTCCATTAAAACTAAGACTATAGCATATGTCCACCTTTTCCACAGAAAGTTGAACGAGCAGATATCTGGAAACAAGAACATCTTTTTGAAACCTCTGATACTTGGAAATACGTCTGAGAAAACTGTGTGGTCCACAGAGTTGAATTAAAACCAAATTAGAAGGATAAGAAGAATTATCTCACTTTAACCACATCAACTCTCTCCTCCAGGTAGATACAATACTAGAGGAGAAGTTTTCCCTGGGTCCATGGGGTTTCTACAGGAGGAAAAGAATCAGAGGCAGTTATCCAGCTCCCTTAGCATTCCAAGATGCTTTCCAGGGAGCCCACTCTGGCTTCACCTCCCTGGGAATCCAGGGGATAATATTACAGCTGGACCACATGAGTCAGGCAGAAATTAAAAAAAAAAAAAAAAAGAACTCATGGTGAAAAGCATATGGATCTTGGTGCCATGTATGTGTTCCTGTTCCAAAAGCTTTTTATGCGACAGCACTACCCATGCCAGACAGAGGTATTACAAGAAAAGAAAATTATAAGCCAGTATCTTTTATGAACATAGATGTAACAATCCTCAAAAATCTACTAGCAAATTGAATTCAACAACTCATTAACAGTATCATTTGCCATGATCAAGTGTGATTTATCTCTAAGTATATTTTAACAAAAACAAATCAATAAATGTTACATATCACTTTAATAAAAGGGAGAACAAACACATGATCATTTCATTGGATGAAGTAAAAGCTTTGACAAAATTCAACATCCTTTCATGAAAAAACTCTCATCAGATTAAGTACAGCAGGAATATACTTCAGCAAAATAAAGGCAATGTGCCATAATCAGCAAGGCCAAACTTGTGGTTGCAGCAAAGGGCTATGGAGGATTAGAAAATAAAAGACTCACACATGCAGAGTTTGAAATAAAGCTGGGATCAGGTGGAGTGCTGCCCCCTGATGGAGAAGCAGATCTAAAAAGTTATGCCAGCAATCTTTATATATATCTCAGTATCAGGTTAAAGACTATGCAAGCATTAATCTTTGTACTTAGGAAAGTTACAGAATTAGAAACGTTATCAGGTCTTACCTCACAGTGAAAGGGACAAAATATACAAAAATTCTTTGGACTTCAAACATTATACAAGCTGTATTTAGTGCTATTTTAATCAAAATAGTTGACTCTTACCTGAGGGACAAAGGAGTGAGTTGAATGTTACTTCCTTCTCTAGTCCTTCAGGCTTTAGGGAAAAGAAAAAGAAGTTAGAGATAATCATAAACTGAATCTCAGGGCATATGTACTGATAAACAACAGAATTTTGAATACTAAAGAGAAGGATTTGAACTGCATTATATTATCAAGTTAAATATAAGCATTATGAAGGAGACACGTTGATAGATGACAGCATGAGGGAAAAATACAGAAAACATGTTATGAGAGAGAGACAGACAGATTAGACAGACAGACACACACACACACACACACACACATACATGAGACAGAGACTGAGATGGGGATGATAGGTAGATAGGAATAGAGAAGAAACATTTTAAGAAACCATCATATATTATTATTATAATTATTAATTATATCCAAATATGTGTAGTATGAATGTTATTATGGACTATATATTATCCATCTCTTCTTCCCTAACCTGATTCAGTGCTGTTTTTGTATGACTTATCAAATTGACAGGTTCACTTACTTCAACCAACAGTAGCTTGATGATTGTGTCTTTCTTTCCATATTTAGGGACCATAGCCACTTCACTCCCACAGAGCTCCTGAGACTCCAGTGCTTCTGCACTCACAGTGAAATTCACATTTCCTAAAAAAGCAAAAACAAAAAATCAGTAGAGATAAGTACCATCTTTCCTTTCCTCTGTGCTTCTGATTTCAAGATTTATAAATGTTTAATGCTCTGTAGGCTTATGTTTCATAAAAACATAAGAGCAGAAATAAAGCAACATAACCTAGAGGCCTCTGATACTGAGAATATAAGGTGGAGATGGAGGTGAGGAAGTGAGGGTATCCTTCTAGGAATCCTCGAATCACAGACCTCCTACCTTCTGGATGTCTTGGCTTGAGGCAAGTAACCCTGAGACACACAATCCTTGAGTAGAGAATTAGAGACTCCAGAAGTCTGTTCCTCACCTAATGACTGTGGAGTTACTTCCCAGGACACAGTGTGCCGCCCATCACCACAGATGCAATGAGACCCTTGTTCCTTTTCCACTGGGACAGCTAGGAATGTGGGGGAGGTTTCCAGCTGTATGCGGACCTGAAACCACACAACAGACAAAAAGTTTATAAGTAGGAGACCAGAAGGATAATGGTATTGAAATAAAGGATACTGAGGGAATGGTTAGGTGTTGGGGTACTTAAGCTTAAAGATTTTATCAGTGATCACTGAGTAACTTTAGAACCTGAGTCAACTTAATCTTAGTAATGTTGGTTGATCTTAGTATTCTAGGGGAGCCTCTTCTTCCAGATGGTGGGACCAAAGGTGAGGCAAGGTAATGCTGGCTCCTTGCCTGTGTGAGCTCTGTTTCTGTGACCTGGAAGTTTGGTCATTTTTCTAAGCTCTCCCAGCAGAGTTTACAAGTCTATAAATAGTTATGGTTTCAGCATAGGTAATGTGCTCACAAACAACTTTTAAAATGAGGTTGAGCATAATCAATAAAGTTAACTATGAAGGAATGTAGAAGGTGAATCTTAGAAAATTTGACATGAGCAGGAAGAACATTGATATTTGTTGTCTATGTCAGAAATCTCCATCCCCCCCAAGTATTGGAAATAGAATTCAGAACTTTGTACATGGTAGCAAGTACTTGACCACTGAGCTACACTTCAGCTCACCTCAAAATCATTGCCCAAACTATCTAACTTTAAAGGGTTATAATAAGGGTCAGAAACTTGTTTTTGCAATTCAGTACTTAGAGATAATAGCAATTATAATATATATAAGATATGAATATCTCTCTGATGGTATTCACTTTCTGTTGATCACATCTTATATAAAAGAGTTTGTCAGTATTCCTAGAAATGCAATTTTTAATTTACTTGACTGTTGCCTTATATTCAATTTAGAAAAGACATCCTTACCCGGATGCATTTGGGAAGGTAGTTCAACACAGTGGCCTTGAGTGTGAAGGCCTCTCCACGGACCACAGAGTAGGGCATTGTGAGCTCCACAAAGAAGGGCTGGAAGACTCGGAGAGAGGCAGTGGGAGAGAGACCAAGCCCAGTGTCATTGGACAGGCAGAGGGCCCCTGCCTTCCACTCAGTGATGGTGTCAGGGACAGTTCCTCCTACTTCAGCTACACCCGATGAGCTGGGAGGAAGGTAATGTGAAGAACAGGAAATAAGTGAAATAAATTCTTCAAGGAAGAGAGAGGTCTTATAAAATGATTCTGTTATCATGATTTGAATGCATTTAATAGAAATACCAATAACTAAGAGCATAATTCAGATCACGCATTGAAAAATATAAGGCTTTTCTTCCAACCCTGTTTTTTCAAGGCTTGTCTCTATCAGAACCTCCTATAGATATATCATTGTAGTATACTTTTTATAGACAATATAATTATAGATTAAATAAGTAATTGGAAAGTATCGTTAAATTTTTTTCTATAAAATGCAGGTTCAGCATGGGCAGATTTATCATTTTTTATTTCTGCTATTACTGTGCCTATTTGGCCTGATTTTGTACTTAACCTAAGATTGCTGACCAATAAAGGATCTCATAATTGTTAATCCGCTCAATGCTTGGTTATATTTAGAACTATTCCTCTTTTTCTGTAAATCCTAGAATTAATTTTTTGTAAAATTTCTTAGTTTTGATTTAATTATACTAGTGATACTTTATAACATAGTATGTTAAACCTCTCCTGAAAACAGCAATAAGCTTAAAAGTGCTTGGATTTTGAAAAGTTAGCTAAAAGTTCCTACTTCTCCCTGAAATGGGTCTATCTACATGCTTTCCCAGTTATTCCTGAGGGTTGGGTTTCTAATTGGCCTTGTTTGGGAGAGAAGGGACAGTAGACTTCTGGAGTACAGAATTAGAGTGTGGGCACTTCCCATGCCTTCCACTCCTGGCTTGCTTCAGTGATAAAACTGGGTCTCCAGCTTCTTCCTGGAAGAAATTGGTCAACACATCAAGCACCCCAACTTTTACAGCTCCTATCCAAGTGTCTGGCTCCTAAATCATCTACCTCTAGATGATTCTAAGATTGGATGGTACTTGCATTCTCTAGTACTCTGAAACCACAGAGAACAAAAAGGTGGTTTCAAATGGGGTACATGAGCACTTTCAGCAGCTCTCTCCTAGGGCTCAGTGCAAAGTGAACAGGTAAAAACTTTTCAGCACCCAGCTTTTCCCTGGAGAAGGCTAGACTACATACTTAATGCCTCAACTTTCCCAGATGCTCTCTGTGGATCAGGCCTTCAGTTAGCCTGCATTTAGTAGCCGAAGGATCAGGCAGTCAGTCTGTCTCTAGGAACATGAATGAGTATGTGGTTCCTTCCAATAACTCTTCTGATTGGCTGGCTCCCAAGATAAAGCTAAGTGTCCAGATAACTTGCCTGTCTCAGGGAGCAAAAAATAAAGAACAAAGCATTAAGTTGAATGTATGTGTAGTATGAATAAGAATGGAAGCATTTGTCACAGATCCTCTTCCCAGCTTTGAATAGAGTGAATGAAAGATATATTCTAACTCCCAGCTTCTCCTTGAGGATCAATGTAATTAAAGTATCTACCTAATATGCTAACTTTTTCTGCTGCAGTTCAAGAAATTAGCTTCTGTCTTGCTAATCTCAAGACATTGACAGACTTTGTTATACTTTAATCTCCTTGGGTCCACTAAGAATAAGACAATATGGATAAATACAAACGTTTAAGAGGCACCTAGAATATCTGGTTGGGCTTATTAGTGAGGTCCTTCTGCTACATGAGACCACTTTGACAAAAGTGAGGTATGGTTGCTTTTCCTAATACAGAGAAACCAATATAGAGGGTCAGTGAAAAGGAAGAAACAGGAAAAATTTCAAACAAAAGAAAAAGATGAATCTCCAGAAAGTGACCTTAATGAAATGGAGGCAGATGATACACTCAACAGAGAATTCTAAAGAATAGTCATAAAGCTATTAATTGAGATTGGAAGACAAATGCATGAACAAAGTAAGAATTCCAACAAAGAAAAATATAAAAACTACTAAGTAGAAATCATAGAACTGAAGAATACAATAATTGAACTTAAAATTAATTAGAGGGCTTCAACATCAGACTGCATCAAATAAAAAAAAGGACTTCAAGCAAACTTGAAGTCAGGTCTTGTGAAATCATTTCATCTGAGGAGCAAAAAGAAAGAATGAAAAGATAGCTTAAGGGAGCTGTGGGACACCATCAAGAAGAATAATGTATATATTACTGGAATCTCAAGAGAAGAAATGAGAAAGTGATAGAAAGTTCAACAAATATATGAAAAAATGCTCATCATCTCTAGCAATCAGAGAAATGCAAATCAAAACTACTCCAGTCAGAATGGCAGCTATTATGCATACAAAAAGCAATAAGTGTTGTCGAGGATGTGGGGAAAAAGGTATACTCATACACTGCTGGTGGGACTGCAAATTGGTACAGCCAATATGGAAAGCAGTATGGAGATTCCTTGGAAATATGGGAATGGAACCACCATTTGACCCAGCTATCCCTCTCCCCAGACTATATACCAAAAGGACTTAAAAACAGCATACGAAGGGACATAGCCACATCAATGTTTACAGCAGCACAATTCACAATAGCTACATTGTGGAACCAACCTAGATGCCCTTTAGTAGATGAATGGATAAAAAAGTGTGGCATATATACACAATGGAATTTTACTCAGTATTAAAAGAGAATAAAATCATGGCATTTGAATGGATGGTGTTGGAGAACATAATGCTAAGTGAAGTTAGCCAATCCCCAAAAAACAAATGTTGAATGTTTTCTCTGATATAAGGAGGCTGACTCATAGTGGGGTGGGTTGGTAGGGGGGAGCATGGGAGGCTTAGATGAATTCTAGATAGGGAAGGGGGTGGGAGGGAAAGGGAGGGGGCAGGGGATTGGCAAGGATGGTGGAATGGGATCGACATCATTATCCAAAGTACATATATGAAGACTCGAATTGGGTGTCAACACACTTTATATATAAACAGAGATATGAAAAATTGTGGTATATATGTGTAATAAGAATTGTAATGCAAAAAAGAAAAAAACAAAGTACATGTATAAAGGCATGAATTGGCATGAACATACTCTATATATAAAGATATGAAAAATTGTACTCTATATGTGTAATAAGAACTGTAATGCATTCCGCTGTTGTGTATTTAAAAAATAAAATCAATTTTTAAAAAGAAGTAAATAGAAAACTGGATACAAGAAATCTGGAGAACATCAAATAAAATGAATCCAGAGACCCACACTAATACACATTATAAAATTGACAAAATTTGGACAAAAATATTTTTGAAAGGAACAAGAAAATTTCATTTGTTACATAGAAGGGACTCTCAATAAGACTATTAGGATTTCTAGCAGAAACTTGGCTGTCCAGAAATAAGTGCAGTCTTTTAATAAATCTTTGCATGTATATTGCTTTTGACATGTCCTGAAATTGTTTTTAGTGCTGTAAGTCAAGAACCTACCCTGGCTGGGTGGAGGTTCCACTGCCCACTTGGAGAGACCTATCCAGGGACACTTCTAAACCAAGGGATATATAGGTTCACTATAATCTTTATCAAAATTACAATTGCATTTTTTCATAGAAGTAGAAAAGTAATTCTAAGATTTGTATGCAACTGCAAAAGATCCTGAACAGCAAAAAGCAATTTTAAAGTAGAAAAAGTGAGACACACACACAAATATTAAATAAAAAAGAAAGTTTTTTTGTGGTAACCTGGGTGTGTTTGGTGAAATAAGCCAGGCATAAAATGATCTCACGCAAGTGGTGGAATATAAAAAGTTGATTTTATAGGAAAAAAGAGTAAAATAATGGTTACTAGAGATTAGAAATGGTGGTGGGTAGAGATTGTTGGTGCCCATTTTCTAACCTCTACCTAAGGAGTTAGTTCTAGTATTCTACAGCACAATAATATAACTGCAGTATACAACAGTACATGATGCGTTTCAAAAAAATTAGAAGAGTCCAAAGTTTGCCAACACATAGAAAGGATAAATTTATCTTAGAAGGTGTAAATACTATCATGGTTTGATCATCACACATTGTATACATATATCAAATCATTGTACTATATTTCATAAATATGTAAACATATTGTGTATTAAAAAAAGAAAAAGTTGGAGGAATCACACTTCCTGATTTCAAGCTATATTACAAAGTCATAATAATAATAGTATGATTCTGGCATGAAATAAGATGTATAGAATAATGAAACACAATAGCACAGAAATAAACTCAAGCATATATGATTAACTAATTTTCAATAGGCCCCTAAGAAGAAACAATGGAAAAGGAAAGTCTCTTTAACAAATGATACTGGAAAAACTGGAGAGAGTGTGCATGCAGAAGAGTGCAATTGGGTCTTTATCTGACCGTACACAAAAATCATGTCAAAATTGATTAAAGATCTGAAACTGTAAAAACATAGATCTTGGCATTGGTCTGGGCAGTGAATTTTTGAATATGACACCAAGAGCACAGCCAAGAGAGGCAAAAATAGACAAATGGGATTATGTAAACTAGAAAGCCTTTCACAGCAAAGGAAAGAGTTAACAAAGTGAAAAATCAGCCCATGGATTAAGAAAATAAGTGTGAACCATATATATGATAAGGGATTAATATTGAAAATGTATAAAGAACTCACACAGCTCAAAAGCAAAACCCCAATAATTGTATCAGAAAGTTGGCAAGTTATTAGACTTTTTTTTTTCAAAGAAGACATAAGAATAGTTTAGAGATCTAAGAAAAAGTTCTTAACATTACTAAATACCAGGGGAAAACATATCAAAACCACAAGAAGTTATCACCTCACACCTATTATCACCTCACACCTGTTAGGATGACTTATCAAAAAGATAAGAGATTAAAAAGTTGGGGAGGACGTAAAGGAAGGGAATCTTTGTGTACTATTAGAGGAACTGTAAGTTAGTACAGTCATTATGCAAAGCAGTGTGGAGATTACACACACACAACACCCCAACTATATGATTTTGAAATTCTTCTTCAAGGTATCTACTCAAAGGAATTGAAATCATCACCTCATAGAGATACATGTGCCCCTATGTTTATTACAGTGTTATTCATAATAACTGAGATTTGGAAACAACCAGAATGTCTGTTGATGAATGAATGGATAAAGAAATTGTGGTACATATATAAAATGAAGTATTTTTCAGCCTTAAGGAAAGGGTCATACTGCCTGCCACTTGTGACAATCTGGATGAACCTTGAGGTCATGATGCTAAATGAAGTAAGACACAACAACACCTGTACGGAGAATTTAAAAGAGTTGAATACATAGAAACAGACTATAGAATGGTGAATAATGCAGGGGTGGGTAAGGAGAGACAAGTGAATGGGTACAACATCACAGTTATGTAGGAGGAATAAATTTAGAAATCTAATTGGCAGCATGAAGACCATGGTTAAAGGCAATATATTATATACTGGAAATTTGCCAAGAGAATAGATTTCAGATTCTCTTACCCCCACCCCCAAGCCAACAACAAGAAATGATGTGTTAATTTACTTGACTGTCATAATAATTTCACTATATATATATATCAAAGCATCATGTTGTACATTTAAAATATTTACAATAAAAAGAGGAATTAGCCCAGAAGTAAAAATTGTAAGGAATCTATATTGTTGCATTTACAGATAAAGGAAGTTACTTACTCTACCACCACCAAGTCCCAGATCCATGTCTCAGGGAAGTACTTTCTTACAGTCTCTTTGTGAGATACTGGCGCATCTATCTCCTGAATTTGGCTTCTGTAAAGTGCAACTGGTGCTATGGTGGTGAGAGAAAAGACAATAAATGTAAAGGTAAAGCTTCTGAGAGATTGTAATAAGTGCTACTGAATAAATAGGGTCATAAAATAAAGCAGAACCGGGAGGAGACACTTTCATAGTTAGGGGAAATTTGTTTGAGGTGATATTTTAGTCAATTATGAAGTATTAGAATAAATTGAGCTAGAGGAAGAGAATCACAGAGAACACAGTGACCTTGGTAGAAAGCCTTGAATTGTTCCTGGAGCAGAAAGACTCTGTGGAGTGCTATGAGACTACTACCCATTGTGCTAAGTGGAGACCTATGGCATAGGAGGCGGCCAGGAGGCCAAACTGCCATTGGTGTGTTCCTCTGTGGAGCAAAGAAAAATTGTAGTAGATATAGAGTTTTGAGAAACAGTTGATAAGGATGAAAGCGTCAGGATAAAAAGGCTTTTTATTTCATTGTATGTAAGCAGGTCAGAGTTAGGTACAAGTACAAGTAAATATTTAGTAGCCAGGTTTTTTTTTTGTTTTGTTTTGTTTTTTTGCTTTTGTACTGTGGGCACATAACCACTAAGCCACATCCCCAGCTGTTTTTATTTATTTTACTTTAAGACAACGCCTAGCTAAGTTGCTGAGGCTGTCTTTGAACTCATGATCTTTCTGCCTCAGCCTCCCCAGATGCTGGTATTACAGGTGTGAACCACCACACCTGGCTAACAGCCATTTTTTCTTTGCAGAAAATTTGCATAAGTTGTACTTACACAAGTTTAGTATAAATCTTACTGGTAAGGATTATATAATTTATAAATAATATAATCTTTAAATTCCACAAAAGAAATTGATTTGGTATTTTTGAAAGTCAAAGTATTTTTGACTTTCTTTTTTATGTCCTAAACTTATCTTCAACTATAATTTTACAATATAAGACTACAAATAAATCCTTGAACACTATTACTGATTCACCAAAGAAATAGCTTACACACATTGATGAATGTGTGTTTCCACATGAACACTGGCTGATGTTTTGGGAAAGCCGAAGAGCTTCTTTACTTGACTGATGAGAATATAGTTTTGTGAGCATTTCTATTTCTGTTTACACTGATCTTATGCCTGGAAACTTTCTCTTCCCTTTCAACCCCATACATCTTCATTTATCAGAAGCAGATTCTTCATGAAAGACTTCCTTAATCAGAGCTAACCCTGCCTTTATTTTACATATCTATACCTGTCTTATAGCATTTTACATAGTCTTCCTTGTGTTCCTTCCAGATTTGCATTTGTGGGAGACTTGAGATAATCTCATTTGGGCTTGTGTTGTTATGTAACCTTAGGCAAAAACTATAGTATATCTGAATCACAAGTTATTTTTTCTTTATTTTTTTTGTTAATGTTTATCACATATTGTCTTAGAAACAATACTTTTATTGGATTTAACACTTTAGGCAGTAAATAATTTTAATTTTTTACCGTCATATGCTGAAAATGTTGCTAGATACTCTATAGTCTGTGTACATACTTTTGGTTTATGAATCTTTGAGTTTGTGAATACTCTTAAGCCCATATCCTATAAAGAAAATGATCACCTGATTAGTACATAACACACACATATATTTTGAATTCAACAAATAGTATAAGTAGCTTAATATTAAACTTTTAATGGTTATATTTGTAGAAGGAATATTAGTATAGTTACAATTTCATTTTGTCTAAAACAGTAATTATTTTATATAAAGGAAATTTATAAATATCACAAAGCATGGGCTGGGTTGTGGCTCAGTGATAGAGTGTTTGCCTTGCATATGTGAGGCACTGGGTTCAATCCTCAACACCACATAAAAATAAATAAAACAAATTAATTGTGTCCATATACATCTAAAAAATTAAAAAAATCCAAAGCAATGAACTTTAATAAAAAAGGAAACTTGATTAAGAGTCCAGAAGTTCCAGTCCTGGTTCTGTTGCTTTTAGCAGAGCTACTGTTGTTATTGACTTTGGAGGAAGTCATTTGATTCCTCTGTTCCATTAACCTCAACCATGATAAAAGGCATTAAAGTAAATAATTTCTCTATATGTGATATTTTAAGAACCTTAAGGATTCTCTGCAACATTAGAAATTTACCTTTAGGACTCCATTAATATAGACATTATCACGATTGACACAGTCTCCATGATCTTCAGCCTCATTCAAACTTTCAGGGAAGCCAGTGAGGTCCTTCACTGGTAAAAGCTTATAAACCTGTGTAAATGCAAAGAACATGGGGGCTAACTTACTATTTTTAGAGCAAGCAGAAAAGAAAAAGAATAATTACCACTCAGTATTTAACAGTAGAAGTAGCTTAATATTAAACTTTAAATGGTCATATTTGTAGAAGGAACATTAGTATACTTACACACACTAAACAGGCACACACACACTCTAATACCTAGTCATATGACTAGGTATTGTATGCATCTTCTAAATAAGACAGGATAATATTTTCTAAGGTATTATTCATAGAAGCAAAATGCTCCAGATTCACACCAGACATAAATCTGCAAAATACTGAAAACCACACTTTCAGATTCATTTGAAGGGTAGAAGTAAGATAGACATAAAAGTGCTGATAGGTGCATGGCATGAAATTTATAGAAGTTTGAAATTGAATAGATGGGCAAAGTATGTGGTGTGATGAACTTAGACAGTTTCTCAAAGGCAACTCTCTTAACATTCTCCTTGCCCCTTCCTGCTTTTATTTCTCTCCAAAGCATGTATTGTCGGTCTCATCTATGAAAATGTAAATCCCACCAGATATATATATATATATATATATATATATATATATATATATATATATTTTCTTTTTTTTTGTACTGGAGATTGAACTCAAGGGCACTTAACCACTGAGCCACACCCCCAGGCCCTTTTTATTGTTTTTTATTTTGAGACAGGGTCTTGCTAAGTTGGTTAGGGCTTTGCTAAATTGCTGAGTCTATCTTTGAACTTGTGATCCTCCTGCTTCAGCCTCCTGAGCTGCTGGAGGTACAGGTGGTGGACACTGTATCTGGCCAGACCTATTTTTTTAATCTTTCTGGTAGTTCACTACCAGACTCGCAGCATTTAACGTAGTGTCTTGAACACAGTAGGTATTAAATATGTGTTAAATGAATGACTTCTTAGTAGTAGAAGCACAGTATTTCATTAATAAAACACTAATCACGGATTGAGAAGAACTAGCATCCTAGTAATACTTAAAAGCTTCTGTGTTATTATTAATAATTTAATAATAAAGAGTTGTTACAGTTTGGGTTGGGGTCGCTCAGCACTTGCCTAGCATGTGTGAGGCACTGGTTTGATTCTCAGCACCACATATAAACAAATAAATAAAGGCCCATTGACAACTAAAAAAAAAAAAAAAACATTAAAAAAAGAGTTGTACAATTTAAAAAACCTTTGAGAACTTAAAATTGTTATGCAAACATAAAACATTAATTTTTCCATATATACTTATGTTCCCACTATTGCAATATACTTTTAATTCTTCCTTTAAAAATACCTAATATCTTCAACTAAAATCCCACTTAGAAGAACCAAAAAAGTAAGAAATATATCCTCATAAGTTTCAATTTTAGGGAATTAGAAATATAAAATTTTCCTTTGTAAAATTTTGATAGAAAAAAACTTCAATAAGTTGTTTTTCCAGTTTGTCTCATATTGAGAATTTGAAGATATGAGCAGCAACCTGTGCATGTTATTAAGTAGTTAAGTGAAATAGCATACCATTTTGCTATTTCCTTTATTAACACTGTATTTAAAAATATTTGAGTTATCAGTGTCATTTAGCAGTTCACTTTTGGTAATTTTTAATCATCAGAGACTATATATAATTTTTTAGAAATTATTGACATAGTCATCAGCTTGAGATAGTCATAATTTCAACAGATTTAATTATAGAAACATAAATCTGAAGTTTCATCTAGTCTGTGCAGTCTTAGTGCAGGAAAATGTATCACTTTCATTAGGATTTTAAAAATGTTAAAACTATTATTGGTTTCACGAAGCTGAGGGAATTCAGAGGCTTTGTATAGTACATGGTCTCTTCTACATTAATAAATATAATTTACAAATAACTTTTCTGATTACTCAGAGTTACTTTTTTTATTTGTGTATCTGTCCCTTTCTTTTTGCAACCTGCCCTGTATTCTCTCAGCATTTCATATATAGATGGTCTTATACAATCATATTTGGGTTTGTATTGCCATGTGACGTAGAGCAAGAACTTTACTATATCTGAATCATAAGTCCATTTTTGGTTAATTTTTATCATATTTTATGTTTTTAAAAATTCTTTTATTTGGTTCAGTACATGGTGCAACAAATTTTTATTAATTCTTTTCAGCTGCAGAAGCTAGTTTTGTATGTGTGTGTGTACAGAGAGAGAGAAAGAGAACATGAGAAATTATGTACAATTATCTTTCTCTCTAAAGAAAGCACACATGAAAGAGCTCAAAATTATTAACTTATAGGTAGATATAATTTTAATAGATCCTGTCCGACTCAAGCATTTCTTCCTGATCTAAGCCCATTGCACAGTCCTTCGTGATCTGTGAGGCTGTCAGGAACTCACCGATGATGCAGAGAGCTCAGCCTCGGGCCTCATGAGCAGCACACTTTGGTCCACGGCTCGGAGAGCACAGAGGGACTGAGGAGAAGCTGTGACTCGCAGGTGGGTATGTGAGGCTGGAAGAGTTTGTAATGGTCTGAAGCTCAAATCCACCTGTGAATTTGGTGCAGATGTCAGAAAAGCAAATTTCCAGATTAACCATGGGTTCACTTGCATTTCCTGAGTGTTCCTCAATTTAATGCATAATTACTTTGTTTGCCTTCCTGGTGACTGGTATTTTGTAAGTACTAAGGCTTTTTGTCTTCTGTACTTTACTTTGAATCTCAAGATTCAGTAGAGGCATTGAAATGACTTATGATTTATAAACTACTAATTTTGAGGTGTCATTTTTTATTCTTTCATACACAATGAGGTGCTTATTAATTTAGGGTGGAATGCAAACAAATCTAAGTGCTCCTGTTTTTTTTGTTTTGGATATTTGTGGTTTTAAAAACTTGGTTGCATACTTCCCAACATTTCTTCATAGAAGAAGGGAGCAAGGTACTTTGAGCTGTGAAATGTTAAAGACAATGGTATATATAGAATTTTGCAGACTTTGTCAACTGACATGGCTTCTTAGTGTGATTCTGTTGTTACTTTGCTGGTTGTCCCTTGGGAATTCATTTAAACCCTTTGGCTTCAATGCTCACACTTATGAAGTAATTCATAATTATAGTAACTATCAATTTTGAATGTTGAAATTTTATGGTATGAAGCACCCACCTTGTTTGCCAGACAATTTTCAATCTCATATTTTGCAGAATCTCCAACCATTTCCCCATCAGGTAAAATGGCATAGATTAGCAATCGAGCAATTGGAGCCAAGTCTGACTCCACAAGGAAGGTCACGGAAAAATGGCCTTTCACTGGAACAGACAGAATGAGAGGATCAGTCATGTGTTATACATCTCCCCAAAGCTGAAATAAAATCATTGTGTCACACAGCCATTTTAGGAGCTTGGTCTGGTTAATAACTGCTTCTGTGAGTAGATATAATAAACAGTACATGTTAATAAGAATCCTAACTTTTGAAAACCTTCCTCTCCTACATAAATCACATGTTGATTTCTCACCAATTTTAGCTTTAGCTCACCTACATAAGACTCTGAACTAAAGGTGTGGATACATCTAACTTTGGTACCATTTGATCTAGACCTCACACTAGGAGGTCTAGATTAAAGGGAAATAGAAACTGTAATTATGCTAAGAGTTTAGCACATTGTATTTATGCTCATATCTTCTCTCCCCTTCTGTGAAGCAAATATTTCGTCCTTTTATCAGAGGAAGACTATGTTCCTTTGGAAGTTTTTTTTAATGCCTCTGTAGATTATTTAGAGGTTGCATTAAACATTCCTAGGTTGGTGCTTTGTGTTGGTTCAGAGATGTCAAAAGAGTAGTTCATTTATAGTTTTCCAGTAACTCATTGCTTAGAATCCTTAGAATAGGAGAAAACCTCAAAGATTTATATTGTTCCATATTTGTTTATGGGGAGAGGCCCATTCAACCATGGAAGTACTCAATTTAAAATTTGAAAATCATAACTACCTTCAAAGGAGAAATAAGATACTTATTAAGATATCAATGATTTCGAACAAGACCTGGAATATATAGAAGGACTCCCAGAACTTTCCTGTCCTCCTCCCCGTTCTTTATGCAATGCTAAAATGTCTCATTTTGAGAAGAGATCCATAAATATTTGCAGTTAAGTATATGGTATGCACAATAACATCAATAGTTTAAATAATTAAACAGAATACACTGGAAGAAAAAGAAAACAAATATATGATAAAGGGAGAAAATAAGAAATATTGCTTTCCTTCCTTCAACTTCCTCTTTTTACAGAGATTAGATGGAAATTATCTGTATTTGAAAATATTTCTGTAGTGTAAGGTTAAATGGGTCAGAATAGGGCAGAAATATGGACATTTTGGAAATACATACTGTCTCCCTGCTCCACAGGTAGGACATGAGTCCCAGTTCGGAAAATGCCTCCCTTTGCCATTATCTGCAAAAAGAAAATAAAAAAGGAAATTTAGTTTGCCCAAAAGAGACTTTCCTCTAGTCTGGACTTCCATGCCAGATGCTTGCTTTATTTAGCCCCTGCTCTCAATAATTTGCCACAAGAAAAGTCAAACTTTCAAAATGAACATGGATAAGAAGTCAAAATAGTGGTGTTGAAAGAGCTATATAATTACTTGCCCCACAGAGAGCTCCTTGTATAGACGAGTCAATGCAGGGACCTCCCTTCTTACCAGATAATAGAAGACGAGCTGCTTCAGCTCCTGTAGGACCTGTTCATTTAGAAGATAATGTGCCTGGACTGTCTGAGATTGGCCACATGGCAGTTTACCAGGAATAGGTTCAAGGTGGATAAAGCTTTTGCTCAGGGAGAATACAACATTAGCAGTGTGATATGCATTCTCATTTTCCTCTGAGAGCCACTGGTGGTTATAGCAGGGGCTGTGATCCTTGTGTTTGACCTAATGAATAAAAAACAATGTTATTTTATAGATTATGTATCAAGGATCAATGTTCTCACAGAACTGTGTAAGTTTACTGTTGTACCTTAACCAGTAGTTAGAAATGTTTTGCTCTACAGTAAGAGATAAGAAAGATTTGTATCAAATGCAGGCATGGTTTATGCTTTTACATTACAGAGCATCCTGGGTTTGGTATTTGTATATCTGAAGCGCATAAAAGGAAGCATTCTTTGCTCTGAATAGCTTGCTTGAAATTTGGATACTTTACTATGCAGGTAGATGCACTGGGCTGTGAAAACTGATTGAAGAGGGTAAATATTCTCTAGAAATTGAAGAGTTGTGCTTTATAAAGCAGTTGCTTCTTTTACGATGGGGTTTAAGTGAGTATTACGAATAAAGGAAATATTGCAACCTTTGGGGCCTGAAAAAACTTTCTGTAAAAAGCATTATTCATTTATTTTATTTTTTTTCTTTCCACGCTTTTAATACTTTTTAAAATTATTGTTTTTATTCTTTTGCTACCAGGGATTAAACCCAAGGGACTCAACCACTGAGCCAAATCCCCAGCCTGATTTTGTGTTTTATTTAGAGACAGGGTCTCACTGAGTTGCGCAGAGCCTCGATAAGTTGCTGAGCCTGGCTTTGAATTTGTGATCCTCCTGTCTCAAGCTCCTGAGCCGCTGGGACTACAGGTGTGCACCCTGCACCCAGTTTCCAAGTTTTAAAATTGGTGCATTATAGTCATAAAAAGGATTATTTAAAGAGTTGGTGAATTAGTGGAAACCTGTCTTTCCAGGACTATCTTAAGTTGATTATTTTTAATGCTTCTAGTGGTTCTGGATTCTTATGCTTCATAGCTCAATTTCAGTTGTATTTTCAACTTCTCTTCCTGCAGATCTTGCTCCTTGGCTCTTTCCAAGCTTCCTCAAGGTCCCAAGTAGCATGAATGAATCTTTATGCCAGCAAAATGCTTTGTTCATAATATATCTCTATGATATTTTCTAGTGATAATATATGAGAGCATCAAAAGAGGGAAAATTTTAAAATATTTTGTCAGAACTAGTACAGTGGCACGTAGAAAGCATTCAGGATACTTCTGACTTGATAAATGAGCAAATATTCAAGTTTTAGTTGTTAGCAATTTTTATATGATCCATTTAAAGCTGAATCAGTAAAATATACTCTTTATCCTTTCTTTGTACACCAACATGAAACCTTCTAAAAGGCAGAGGGTTTTATCACTATGACTGTGCAACATTTATTGTGTAGCCACATTTACATCTATTGATGAATAGACTGCATGCTATATAAAACAAGTTAAATGGGTAGAAATAGACCACCTGGGAAAATAGCAGGACAAAAGCAAAGTAAGACAATTTATCGAGGGTGTATTTCTGAAACTAAATGCTAATTATGTTAGGGCATTTATAGAGTAAAAGTATGTAACAGTTAAAGGGAGCATCACTAAGTACTTTAAGGTGCACTAGGTCATTTAATCTCACAGCCACCCTAAGAACTAGATCATATTTTACCTATTGTACAGCTAAAGGAATAAAACATAAATGTTTGTCCAGTTATTTCCCTTAATGTAGGGTTGAGTCAGTATTTATATCCAGTTTATTTGATTTTCACTTTAGAACCCACACTTTAAGAAAAAATTGTGGTTAAAATCACAACATAAAATTATCATTTTAATCACGTTTTAGTGTACAGTTTAGTAGTGTTAAGTATATCTATTGTGCAAAGTATCTTCAGAATTTTTCAAGTTAACAAAACTAAACCTCTACATCCACTAAACAGCAACTAGCCATTTCTCTCTCTGTCCAGCCCCTGGCAACCACTATTCATTCTATTTTCTGTTTTTATGACGTTGACTATATTAGAGACCATGGAAGTAGAATCATGTAGTATTTGTCTTTTTTTGTGACCATCTTATTTTTATTTAGCATAATGTCCTCAAAGTTTACTGATATTGTAGCATGTGATAGAATTTTTAAGATTGAAAAATCTTTTGTTGGATATATATATACTGCATTTAAAAAAATTTATCCATTCATAGGTTGATGAATATTTGGGTAGTTTCTACTCCTGGGCCATGGTGAATCCCTACTATAAACAATGGGTGTGCACAGTGAAATTTTACTCAGTAATAAAAGAGAATAAAATCATGGCATTTGCAGGTAAATGGATGGTGTTGGAGAAGATAATGCTAAGTGAAGTTAGCCAATCCCCCAAAACAAATGCTAATGTTTTCTTTGATATAAGGAGACTGACTCATAATGGGGTAGGATGGAGGGGAGCATGGGAAGAATAGATGAATTCTAGATAGGGCAGAGGGGTGGGAGGGTTAGGGAGGGGACAGGGGATTAGCAAGGATGGTGGAATGTGATAGACATCATTATCCCATGTACATGTATGAAGACACAAATTGGTATCAACATACTTATATACAATCAGAGATATGAAAAATTGTGCTGTATATGTGTAATAAGAATTGTAATGCATTCTGCTGTCATTTATTTAAAAAAAATCAATAAAAAGGAATTTAAAAATGGGTGCGCAAATATCTCTTTTGAAAGCCTACTCTCAACTCTTTGACTAAGTTTAATTTAAAAAATTTAGCTCATACATAAACATGAAATAATTGTGCATATTTATGGGGCACCATGTGATGTTTTGATATATATATATACATTGTGTAACATTTAGATCAGGTTAAACATATCTATCCAAATATTTTTCATGTTTTTTATGGTGGAAAATTAGAAATCCTTTCTTACATATTTTCGAAATGTATAATAGATTATTATTATTTATTGTAACCCAAGTGTGGAATAGGGTCATCACCAATACACTCACACACACACACATATATATATATATATATATATATATATATATATATATATATATATATCACATACATATATATATACACACACACACACTAGTATTTATGGTAATATATTTATATATATTATTATATGTAATTTCTAGTTTTTAATTTTTTTGAGGAATTGTTACAATATTTGGCATAGTAGCTGTACCATTTTACATTCCACAAATGTTGCTAAAGTAGAACCCACACTTTTCTTTTTCAAATGGCACAATTTTATGTATAGAAAATATTTTTTCAAGCTATAGACAAACTATTATCTTTTGGTTAAAACATTTTAAATTTACATAGTAATTTCTTTTCCTCCATATAGATTATAGTGAATATAATTATTTAATACCAAAACATTTGGGAATTTTATATTTATCTTTTTGTTAACAATTTACAGTTCTAATTCCTTGATGGTCAGAAAACATCTTTGATATGATTTTTTAAATCCAGAAATGACTATTTCTTGTTTTAAGGACCAGTATATAGCTAATTTTAGAAAATTTTCTATATAAATTCAAAAAATGTGACTTTGAGAATTATTTGACATTCATGGAATCAGTTACTTATATTTATTAATTATTTTGTTCACATATTCTGTCACTTTTCTGAAGTTTTCCCATTTTTTCCACCCTTTATTGGATACATGCATCATGGACTTTCTCTATGATTGTGGATTTTCCCATTTCTCTTTCAGTTTCTGTCAGTATTTGCTTTATACATGTTGAAACCATATAATTAGGTGAATATAAATTTAGAATGTTTGTATTTTCCAGGTGAAATGATCCAGACATTTTGCAATGAATCTTCTTTTTTTTTTTTGAAAAAAAACAGACATTTTGCAATGAGTCTTCTTATCGTGCATAATATTCCTTGCCTTCAATTCTATTGGCTGATATTAATGTAGCCTCACCAGATTTTGTTTGTGTTGGTTGGGATAGAGGGAGTAAAAGCAGGCAGAAAACCCACACTTTTAACCACAACAATATATTAATTTTTTTCACAAAATTTTTAAAAGTTGACCTTAAATTGGTTTCTAATTTCTAATTTGTTTCTTTTTATATGATTAAACACAATTTGTAAATTTCATCTCTTTTAGGTTGCAACTTTTTTTCAAGGACACTTCATGTCATTGGTAACTTATTTCCAAACTTACCATGATACTAAGAGAGGTATCTATAATGTTGGTGGTGTTGATGGAGAACTGCACCAGGCCTTCCTCATTAGTGGTAGCATTTGAGTGATAGTTAGCTTCATTTGCTGTGATGAAGATGATTTTATTTGGCATAGGGATGCCTTTCCCATCCACAAGGCGCACCTGAAGATTAAAAACAGCAAACATATTCATTTCATCACAAATAATTTTTGAATGCCTCCTATATGTTGCCTCCTATAGTTTTCAGGTATTGAGGATATAGCAGTGAGCAAGAAAGAGTTCTTTCACCACAGAGCTTACGGTCAAGTAAAAGAGACATACGTTAAATACATTCAAAAATAATATACACTTATTTAGTAGTAATCAATTCTACAAAGAAAACTAAGGCAGAGTGAAGGAATAGAAAGTGACAAGAATAATAGGGATGATCTGAAGAATGTATTCTGGGTATTTTAGAAACACTGAGAATTTTTATAACTCTTGGAGAGTTACAGGGCACCAGAATAACATAGTAATAGAAAATTTTAATCCAGGAGTCAAATTTATTTGAGACTTGAACACTTATTTTCAGGTAGATTATTAGCTTTTACAATTAGTGTCATAAAGTATCATAAGTACATAACCGAGAAATGGCTAATACACTATCCTGTGTGCTTTTCCAGGTAGTTTATATATGGTATCTTCTTCTCAACCTAGATTTTTCCATCTTTTGGAAAGTAGGCAGATTTTATGATGCACTTCCCATTTTAAAAATATAAAAGTGAAGTGATGCACAAAGTATTAGTGAGGTAAAGCCAAATTACCTTCTCCTGAGTAGTACAGGAGAAGTGTAGCACAGTTCATATTTTCCACAAGGTGACTTTGTTTTTCACAATGAAGTACTTCAAAAGTTTTTATTTTTAATTGACATAGTAATTGTAAATATTTATGGGGCACAATATGACATTTCATTACATGTTACAATGTGTAATGATCAAATCAGGGTAATCAGCATATCTATCACCCCAGACAATTATTATTTCTTTGTGGTGGGAACATTCAAAATCCTTTTTTAATTATAAGCTACTTTTGGTTGCAACAAGCAAAATACACTGACTTGGGTCAGTATTTATAATTGATTAACAAAATCTTAAGTTTGTCAATGAAATATCAGTTGCATGTACAAACATAAGAATAGGCACAAAATTCCAATTCTTTATTTTCAAATAAATGTATTTGAAAATGATATATTTTTTAAACACAAGTAAACATTTTTAAAAGTATAATTTTTTAAAAGTAAAAATAATTTTTTTTGATTTGTGAGAAAATTTATACTTTTAAAATCTGGGAACCTTAAATAGAACTTTATTCCTGTTTAATATTTTTAAAATATACTTTTAATAGAAAATTAATGTAAATATATTTACAAGTGAAATACTAGGAATAAAAGAATCTTGGATACTTCCAAACAAAAAATATAAGCACCAGTAGGTGCTCATCCATTTCTATACAAAGTTAGTGTTAGCAGGATAATGTAATGGGTCATCCTGAATTTCTAGATTCTTGTGAGAAAGTAGACTAAAAATTTGAGATTGCTTGACAAACCAAGAAAAGGAGACCAAGTGACATCCTACATTTCTGTTCCAAAAGAGAGAGAAAAAAACTTTAAATTTTGATAGAATTTTAGAATGATTTTATAGATTTTTGTATATAAATTTAAGATGAATAGATGTATTTTTATGTGGTTGTTTGCTTTTGGTTATATTTCCTACTGTGGTTGATTGATAACAAATTAAGTATAACTTGATCAGAAACCATATGTGGTTTGACTAGTGAACTGCAAAATACTCCACCTGTCCAAAGAAGGGGATCCCTTGTCTAACATGTGAGTCCACTGTCACAAATGAGAGCTTGGTTATGGTGTTTGTGATTTCACTGGACCCTCTTCCTGTTACTTCCACACCTGGAAAAAAAATGATTTATTGAAGGATGATGTCCCTGAACTTCTTATACTACCCTTCCCTTAATTCATTATTTGGCTAAGGAAATGAATAAATGCTCATTGTCATTCTTCCATATCCACATGGTACACAAACCAGTTCCTTCTTCTTGGATCTTGGCCTCCACCTGCAGTTGCATTTCATACCCTGTCTTCTTCAGGTGGAAGATACTGGCTTTTACTTGTTGGAAGAAGCAGCCATGGCTGTTGAGCTAAGAGCAGAGAAAATAAAATACAAAAACATGTATAACTGTACTGGACAGATCAGTGCTCAGTTAATGGATTTTTTGAGATAACTTAATCTAGGCATTTTCTATGATAAGTACAACATATATACTATCTAGGAACTAATTATTGTATTTCACAATGACATCTTATCTATAACCTTATACATAATATAAAAATATCTTAAATTCTTACATATATTCTTTGGTATCTGAAATTCTCTAGAGACAATGAGATAGAATGTTTTAAAAATTTGGGGATAATCTTACTATGGTATAAAGCTAACTCTTCACCACAGTTTGGGTTCTCCTCTCATAGTTGACAGTCGTGGCTGGGAATTGGCTGCCCATCTGAAGACTTTCCTACCTCCCTGGGATCTAGATGTGACAGGTTCTTGCTTATAGAAAGAGAGCAGAACCTGTTCGGCAAAGGTAATTAAAAAGATGTATGTTTTTTTCCTCCTTTCATAGAAGTAAATGCCCAAAGAGTTTGGAGGACTCCTACATTCTAGAGCATTCAAGTGGGCAATTACAAAAGATAATTCCTATTGTGCTAAGTCATTGATTTAGAGAAAATTATAATATCTAGCATGGAATTCTCTTCTAGATTGTTCTTCCCAAGTTAACATCATGCTGTTATTCACTGCTTATCAATATGCCTTTATTGTTAGTCCCCTAAGAGGCAGTGTTTTCAACCTACCTTCTGGCTGAATTTCTCACAGAAAGCTTCTGACTCTTCACCAAAACAGTTAGAAGGATTATTATACTTTCTGCAAATGCTCATAGTCACATGTCCTGGGACAGGCTTCCCATATGTGTATCTGCCATGAGAACATTGCAAATGAGTCACAGCAGACACAGAACACCTCTATTTCTTACCTGAAACTTCTATTAGCTACAGTATATTCACCCTCTGTACTTCCCTCTGCTTCTGAAGGGCTCAAAACCTGTTGAGGGCAAGCAAACTGAGCATTTACTCTTCTCTTTTAGAAAATCTCCAGTGGAATATGCTGAAATTCACTATATTATTCTTTCATTGTCTTTTTTGACTTTATCATTTCAATACCATGTTAATAATGTCTTCATTATTAAAAAGCTAAACTTAAACTTTTTTTATGTTGACCAGTTCATATTTGCTTTTTTATATAAACTTTTTTTTCTAATTAGTTATATACATTTCATTTCATTGTACACAAATGGAGCACGACTTTTCAATTCTTTGGTTGTACATGGTGTAGAGTTGCACCATTTGTGTAGTCATCCATGTACCTAGGGTAATGATGTCCTTCTCATTCCACCATGTTTCTTACCCCCATGTTCCCTCTCCTTTCTCCTCCAAGAGCTAAAAATACTCTTAAGAGAAAAAGCAATACCAATAAAAACAAAACAAAGAAAATAAAATCAAATAGAAGTATTGAGCACCTGAAAATTACATAGGAATCTAAACTATTAGTATGATGATGTTTCCTCAGTATAAACCTATGTTTATATTGCATTTTATTTGCTTTTATAAAAATGGGATTGGGCATAAATATATGATAGGTGATTGCTGTGTTTTTCTGGGCATTTTTTCCTTCCCTATTTAGAGTATTTTCTATATTGCTATTTGCAAGAGAATTAGCTCATAAGTTAATGGGATTGGGCACTTGGTGACCATTACCTTTAAATAGCACAGGCAGAGGGGCCCAGTTGAATAGTAGGTGCCATACATGAGTACTCTTTAGGTTTTAGGACCTATCTCTTCACTTAGCCTATTTTTTTTTTTTTTGTGCTACTGTGGGGCTACCATTGATGGGGATCTAAGACCTTGGAAACATGAATTTTTAAGGTTGGGAAGAACTATGCTGAGCTATTGTGTTCAGTTATCTTAGTAAAAATGGCTACAGAAAGATATGTGACATGCTTTAGGTAGACTGCTGAACTAGATGAGATTTTGGTTACATGATTATCTCTATATATTCTGAATCTAGTCTTGTTTTCTCACTGTGCTTTCTAGGGCAGGTAAATGATCTTGATGATAGAATTTTCTTTATAACCATGTAGTGATTATTTCCCACATAGATGTTTTGTTATTTCTGGTTAAGGTAAAGTCACTACGCTTCAACACTATTCTGTGTGTGTGCACACACTCATGTGTGGGTGCGTGCCACTTTCAGTCATTCCTAGCAGAATAGCCTCTCTGGAAACAGTTCTCCACCCCATGATAGTTACAGTAATTCTGAAAAAGACATGAAAGGAAATAGGAAGAGTAGAAAAACAACAAGAGAACATTCTAGAGATGGGGATGCTTCCAGAGTACTGAAAGTATTTGTGTTGAGGCTACTGATAGAGAAACAAGCCAAAATATCTCAAGTGGTGAATCTCCTTTGAATAATTTCCCTTAAAAGATTAAAAAAATCAACTCACAGGCCACACACTGACACGTTCACCTCTTCTTCCATGATAGTGATTATCTTTGGCATTGTTACTTGCACTTCAAACTTGGGAAGCACTGTTAATTGGTAAAAAAGGAGGTTGAAGATTGTTAACTCTTGGGGCATTAATATTTTCAGATTCTCAGTAACAATTCTCTAGTGATACTTTGGGGCTTTGAAAAAGGTAGCTTTATTCTCTAATACATCTGTTATCTATTTTACTCTCAAATGAAGATTTTGGTTGAGGGACTATGACAGATCCCTGAACCTTAGTGAATTATGAATGCTTCTACAAAAATAAAGATGTTTTATTTTGGATATTAAACTGTACTGCAAAATTAACCAAGCTATATGAAGAGTTATTCAAAGATCATTGGAGTCCTTGGATGTCATTAGTTCTACTCCAAGCCCAGTTTCACCCATGGGAAGTGGAAGGACTATAAATAAGTTTAAATTTTAGTCCCTAAAAGTTTAAATATGAAGAAAAATGTTCCATGACTTTCCATGATCCATACCAAATTCCTCCACAGCAAAGGGGTGTTCTATTGTTCCACTTGATTCCTTCTGTACCACAACACTGTAGATGCCCTGAAGGGGCTCTGATGAGAGGGGAAAGGACAGTTGTTTGAGACCACTCTCTAGCTTGAGATTCTGCCATTGTATAATGCGATTTCCTTTGGGATCCTGTGGATACATTAGTTATCATTTACAAAATTGCTTAGAACATCAGAGATAATCAAAGGAATCTATAAATCTACCTTATATTCATTTTTCACAAAGAGGAAAAATGGGGTAGTAGTGAGGGGTTTGGATGGGAGATGAGTTATAACCATGTAGCCTTGTGTGAATTTGGAGGCATCTCCCTTAATGACAAATTTCTGAGATATTGTAAGAACCTGTCCGATAAGAATATTTTCTCTGAATTTATTTTTTCCTTCTAATAATGGAATATTTCATGCTACTTACCTTAATATATAGTAGTGGTATCTGAAATACAAAAAGAAAAGAAAGAAGTTGATAATAGTTCCCAAATATTCCCTATTCTCATTTCTATGGAGTAATTCCATGTAAATGAAGAATAGCACACTCTATAATAAATCATAGAATGACTCCAGGTTAAATTTTATAAAACTTTTAATTAATCCATCTTAATCAATTAATAATTGATGTTAAATACTAGACCATCAACAAATATATATGTGTATTGCCATTCATTAGGAATGGAATTTACTAACATTACTTAAGTGTGAATAGCATTCAGAATGAATTGCTACAACCTGGCCAATAATTTATCTGGAGGATCCCAAAGGAAATTGCATCATACAATGGCAGAGTAAAAAACATTGCTTTGCTGTGCAATTTTACAGATTGAGGAAGACACACTTATGATATCTTAATTAATTTTTAGATACTTATCTAATCATGTTTAAGTCTAATTATTAATATGGCTAACAGAATTCTTAGGTAATTTTAAGAGCTCGAAGAAATGGAAATAGTTCTCTTAATGTTTTCTTTTCATGTAATTCAATTTTTTATCCTTAGGAGGATTTAAGTGGGGGGTGGGGCCGTAGCTCAGGGGTAGAGCACCTGCCCTGCATGTGTGAGGCACTAGGTTCAATCCTCAGCACCACATAAAAATAAATAAATAAAGATATTGTATCCATCTACAACTATAAAAGATATTTTTTAAAAAGATTTAAGGGCATATAAAATAAGACTAGGCTTCTATAAATAAGAAATCATAGAAATATTGTAAATTTAAAAAAGAGGTAAAACTTAGAAAGCCAAATGGGATAATATGACTGAGTATTCATTTTTTGAAACTACTATTTATTATGTATTTACTCTTGTGTTTGTATCATTCTAGATGCTGAGAATATAGCAAAGCATAAAAGAACAATATATCTATTCTTATGAAGCTTACATTTCAATAAAGTAAGCTTATTATGGATGATAAAAAAGACTATATATCATTCATATACATATGTAATATAGATATAAGTGCCAAGAAGAAAGAACAAATAAGTATAAAGCTGATAGAATGATGGATGTGGTATTTGATTTTGTATATAAGAGTGAAGGTAGAGCTTGGGAGGTGAGTTTCAAAGTAATTGCAATGAACTTGTTTACAGCTGGTATTGGCCTGGTTGTTACAATTCAGGTAGTGAGAAGTAATCTGGATGTATTTTAAGCCAATGATTTCCTGGTGAAGGGGAAGTGGATGTGAGAAAGAGAAGCAAGGATTATTTCATCATCTTTTGTCTTAGGAGCTAGAAGAGAAGAATTATTTTTTTGAGATGACAAAATGTGAAGTTGTCAATTTGAGAGAGAAAAATGAAGAATCTGGTTTGATATCTACACTATAATAGAAAGAGTTATTTCCTATCACAAATTCTGAAGCTTCAATACTGAGGAACACATTGATTACCTTCATATTCCTTCACAGAGATTTTGGTAAATGTGTTTAGAAAAACGTTAAATCTCTGAGAAGTCAATTTGAACTTAGGCTTTTTGACAGTTTTTCTGCATCCGTTGTTTAATAATTTTTTTCTAATTTTCCTAGCTGGAATCTAAAGAGTAAGTTTAAGTATTTGACAACTGATTATCAGACCAAGACATAAACTATGCACTCATGACCTGGTATAATGTTTTCAATGAGGATCTTGTGCTATTCTAACATCAGAAATTAGTGATATCAGATTCTTTCTTTCCCTGGTTATCATTTCAACACAAAAAAGAGGTTCCCATCCAGTTTATACAAATAATAGTGACTATACATAAATATTAGCAGGAGACTCACCAACTCATTCAGGGGGTGAAAGTTTTCATCCAATGAGACAATGCGAAACTTCACTGAAACGAAAGTATTTTCCGTGAGCTTCCCAAACCCTGGACTGGGCCCATAGCTTAGTGTAAGACAAGCTATTAAGGCACCAGGATTTTAGGGATTTGGGGTACTAGGCAGGGGAGGAAGATCTTTCCTTTTTGATGCTGTCTTGACTGTAAATCTCTTCATACCTGTCTGTCCTGGTTTGTAGATAGGTTTATCTGTTTGGACAAAGACCAGACTCTCTTGGTTTTTAACCACCACTGTGTTCCGCCTCCTGAATTCTTGAGTTGATCCTTTCACTTGGACAGTAAGGAACATTACCTGCTCACTGGATGAAGACTGTGGAACCTGAAATACAGATGAGATCCTGGGAACCCATTCAGCCTCTCAAGTCTTCTCCATTCCTTGTTCCACCCCTGTCTGAAGATCTTTCCCTTTTCACTTAATTTCATTCCCTCATTCCCATCTGGGAAAGTTGGCATAGACAGGAAGTGCTTCTACTTTTTTTTTTTTTCAAATGGAAAGACATAACACAAGGTTTTCAAAAAGTAGATTATTAAGAAAAGTTATAACTGAGAATCATATCTTCATAGAGCTCAGACCAAACAATTTTGATTCATTTATACACTAAGCTTTACAAAGTTGATGCTTTATGCTAAAATGGCATGGTAGAAGCATGTCTTAATGTTGTGAAAATAAAGCATGATGATATTTCATTGGCACGAGGTTGCAAGTATCCTTATGTAGTTGACTCTAAAGAGATATTGGGTATTTGCTCAGGGTAATTTTAGAGGTTTTTTGTTTTTTTTTGGTGGGAGAGAGTAACTGGGGATTGAACCCAGGGGTGATTTATCACTGAGTGACACTCCCAGCCCTTTTTATTGTTTTTTAAGATAGGGCCTTGCTAAGTTGCTGGGGGTCTTGCTAAGTTGCTGAGGCTGGCCTTGAATTTGCAATTCTCCTGCCTCAATCCCCCACCACCTGAGTCACTGGGATTATAGGACTGCACCACTATGCCTGGCTTACAATTTTTATTATTAGAAAAAGTGTGATGTTTTCCTGTTAAGTCCACTACTGGTGGCTTGTGTTGAATCATGACCTGGTTTGTTTTGTAAATGTTTTCTCCATTTTAATTTTAAGAAGTCACATTTTTTTCCTTTGTCTAGAGCATACTTCTTTCCCTGGTTAATATAATTTTTCCTTGACCATTAAATTAATTTTCAATATGCCTATAAATATTTGTCTCTTATGGTTGGAAATTTATGCACTGCTCTGTAATTCCTACACTTAGTTTCTCCTTTAGAGTCCTTACGAAGTTCTTACTAGCCTCCCAAAGCCTTTTCTTGACAATATTAGATCCCCAGACCCTGACCAATAGAACTGAGTATATTTGAACAGACTTACTCACAGTGAAGGAGATGCAGTGGAATAAGTCCTTCTGTGCCACCAGGTCAGTGAAAAGGCTCCTGTTTTCCCTTAGAGCCTCCAAGGAGACACTTACAGTCACTGTTTCATTCAGGTTGCTCAGAAGTACACAGGCCTTCTCAGAGGTCCCACTGTGGAGCAGGGAGGGGACCAGCACCATATATTGTCTGGGAATGGGGAAGTCCAGTTAGAAGAGAATGAAAGAAGGGAGACATTGCTATCAACAGCACTATGTTCCTTCAGGATTGTTGTTATCATCATTAGTTTTATACTAAGAAGAACGTATTCATGAGTATGAAACTGTTGTTGAACGGCATGCATAAGAATTATTTCCCCTCTCCATTATACACCATGGCAGTGAATATTTTATTTGAGGTGGGCCTCAAGCAGATTAAACTTTATAAGGACCTCACTTTAGGAAACACAAAAATGTACACATCTGAAATCTGAATAAAAATGTTAGTTATATTTACTTATGTTGTAAATCTGTTATACTTTAGGATCGCTATAAAAGGCAAGCAAGCTCTCAGGCATTTGAGCACCAGAAAAACCATTCAAAGCATAGTACTTTTGTGAAACGTGTGTAAGTGTGGATTCAACAACTCTGAAAATTACATGGCAAGTATTTGCTTTCACATTATAAATATGGAAACTGAGGCTCAAAGAAAGTGAGTCATTAAAATCTTAGTTGTGGTAAGCAGCTTATGAAATCTTGGTACTTTACCTAGCCACAGTCTTTTTAATTTTAAATATTTGCTTTTCAACTCATGACTAGAGGATAGCTCCATCCAAAAATGGTCCTCTAGTGATGAATGTAGATCTTGGTAATTTATGAACAGGACAGAAATTTCTCAATACCCATAAATATAATGTAAGGTTGATTCTGTGGTTTTTAAACAGTTTTTCTTACAGAACTCCTAAAATAATTTTTAGACATTGTGCAACCTCTTAAATACTTTCAAGTAAGCATCTATTTTCATCACAATTTTATTTTTATATTTATTTAAAAATTTTTAAATGACAGTAGAATATATTTTGAAATATTATACATATAGAATAAGTATAACTTGTTCTAATTAGGATCCCAATATTGTGGTTGTACATGATGTGGCATTATGTTGGCTATGTATTCATATATGAGGATAGGAAAGTTATGTCTCATTCATATTGTCTTTCCTATTCCCACCCACCCTCTGTTCCCTTAATTCCTCTTTGTCTAGTTTGCTTGTAGATGTTTGGAACTGGAGAATATCATGATAAGTGAAATAAGTCAGTCCCAAAAAACCCAAGGCAGAATGTTCTCTCTGATATGTGGATACTAACCCACAACAAAGGAGGAGAAGATTATTTTTATCACAATTTTAAATGATAGCGAAGCATATTATTTTGCTATTTCAATTAATATTTACATTATATTCACAAGTTTCCCATAGAACCTTAAATATCATAGAGATAATATACCCAATATCATTTATTTAAAAGTAAGAATTTCTTTTTATGATCAAAAATTTAACATCTTTCCTTTTCATTCTTATTCTTGAACTTTAATTTTCAGGCCACTTATCCACACAGAAGTTTATTCTAAGATTTTTATGCTTTAAAATTTTTTATACATCACTCTTACATTTTACAAATATGTATGCATATGTACATACATAAATTTATACGAGTTTATATATACAATATTTTATGTGGGTATAGAAATTTAACTTTAACTTTTAAATATAACGCCACTATGAACTTGTAAGTACTAAATTTGTTCTTCTGATTGAATTATTTTCAAAGTTCTAGTGTACGACTGATAAAAATAAAATAAATATCTTACAAATTATGATTTATACATTTTAGACATAAAATTAAAATTCTTTGGAAGCACATATTCAGTGAGAATGATGAACTTTTTCCTTCAAGTGAATTTATATATCTATCTTTAGATATTTCTTATTTTAAGAAATAAATAAAGGCTGACATTACTTTGGTTACTACTTTGGTTTACGTAGATATAAAGAATTGGTTCCAGAAAAGTAAGTAAATGTCAGATTAAAAAAAAAAAATCATGTCATTGCCATTACTTCCTGCAACTCTGTATTATGACCCAAATCACCCAGTACTGTGTTACTAAGAATAGTTTCTCATCATCTGTCAGGTGGTATTTCCTTTAATTTTTCACTTTTGGTGAAACAAAGACTACATTACCATGTGCTCTGATTCTGTCAGGAAGAGTCCTTTACCTTTGCAACATTGATACCTGTATTTCACCTGTTCGTTTATTTGGAACCCTAGAGGGTTTTTTTTGTTGTTGTTTTGCCCAGGGCCTATTGAACACATCCAGTGCTTTTCAATTTTTATTTTATTTATATATTTGTTTATTTTTTTAGTTGTAGATGGACTCAATACCTTTATTTTATTTATTAATTTTTATGTGGTGCTGAGATCAAACCCAGTGCCTCAGACATGCTAGGCAAGCACTCTACTACTGAGCCATGACAACCCCAGCCCCTTTAATTTTTATTTTGAAACAGGATCTCACTAAGTTCCCAAGGTGGGCCTAGAATTTGTGGTCTGCTGGCATCAGCCTCCCTGGTCACTGGGAATACCAGTGCACCCTAGAGAGTTTTTATAGTCCAGGACAATGCTCCATGGTCAGGTCTGGTTAGGGAAAGTTTTGTCCTTATTTTATGATGTAGAAGATAGGAAATTAAGAAAGGGAAAGAAGAAAAAAAAATAGCATGTCCTCATCAGATCCATAGGAACAAGAGTATCTCAAAATTGATTTATTTTAAAAGTATCAATTTCTGATTTTCCTTAAGCTTTGCATGTCGTTGGGGGAGGTTAGAGATTTAGAGATCCAGTGAGTTAGAGAAAGATGACTAAGACTTAAGTGAAAAATAAATACACCAAATTTACAAAATCTCATGGTCGGAAGGAAACTTAGAGATGATAATGGTGACAGTTTCAGAGGAAAGATGAATGAAATAAAGGAGAATCTGAAATAAAGGAAAAAATTATTTAAGTTCCGTTGTCATGCTGTCTGAGGAACTCACGGTTTTCCAGAGATGGAGGCATCTGTGGGCAGGCGGATCAGGAAGAGGAGAACAAGACTTGGTTGAAGAAGTTTGCTCTTCCTCATGCTGCATGGAGAAAGGCCCAGAGGAGAACAAACTCTGTCTTGGACCCTACTCCCTCCAATCGATCTGGTCCCAAACACTGCAAAGCAATGGGGCTTTATGCTGCTCTCTGTGCAAACTTCCTGTTTGTACAGCATAAAGTTCTCTAAACAAAGTTGAGGTCTCTGAACGTTCCCTGAAAGGGTCATTGATGGTCTAATTTCAGTCAAGGTTAATCCCTGGCAGGCTAAATAGAATTCTTGGAGGGATAAAACCATATTCCCGTTAATGCTCACTTTCTCTAGCTTTTACAGTAAAGCAGCTAATCAGCTTTTCAACTACTTCTCTCTCTGTCCCCACCACCTTCCATAGTGCCTTTTACAACTCTTCTTGTGTGTCTTGTATGAATTGTTGGCAAGGAAGTTTTGCCCTTTAAGTAACACTGGGAAGGCTCAAAATAGTTCACTTTAAACCGATGTGATTCTGCAATCTGTATACGGGGTAAAAATGGGAGTTCATAACCCACTTGAATCAAATGTATGAAATATGATATGTCAAGAGCTTTGTAATGTTTTGAACAACCAATAAAGAAAATAAATGGCATTTTAGAACTATTGCATTCAAACTTAAACAAATAAAGACATTGTAGAATGACTGGGAATAAATAATCCATGATGCTTTTGAAAATGGAATTCAGTACCCCTAATTTTAATGTAACTTTTATAGCTTTGTTGAGAGAAAATTTAGAACTCATAGCACTGATTTTATAGTAAATCTCCTGGGAAAGGGCAGTTTCTGCAATTGACAACTTTGTAAGACTCTTAGATTCTGGCAGTATTCAAGAGAGAGCAATAAAACACAGGACATACATTTATCATAAATAAAATAAAAGCCAATAACTCATTACTAAAAGAAAAAAATAGTTCACTTTAAGTCAGTGTGCTTCCATCTGATAACGCCTTCCTTCAATGCTGAAGCTGTTTCAGAGCTCAGTGGTCCTCTGTGGAAACAATATTAGATCAAGATAGTAGGTTTTGACCTTAGTGATCTTACTAGGTCACAAATGAAAATCCAGGCACTGGAAGAATGATAACAGAAAATGGGGTTTCATTTATTAAGAAAATGAAAAGAGGAGAAGTAACAGGACCTTAATAACAAGTTTCAACCCACTGTAACTAACAAAGATCTCTACTCCTAACATCTACATTTGAATTTCCTGTCTTCTAAGTATGACAGACCTATTTTTAAGTTATATACAACAATTTTATTAATTCATCCACCCATCCATTCATTGATGTGGCTATTTGGTTATTTTGTAAGCACTTATTTATCTTATTAGAGCTAGATACCATGCAAGATCCTAGAGATAGAATGGCCAAATATAAAGGGGCATACAACCCAAACTTGGGGCCTTGGAAAGGAAATTTAGGGGAGATAAAAATGTAAATTGTGTTCTGAAGTATGAGTGGTGTTTGTGAGATGAAGGAGATGAAGAGAGAATTCTAAGCTTAGGAAATGATGTGTTCAAATGCTCAGGAGGTGGCAACAATTAAGGCGCTTTCCGTGAGATGAGAGCTATTTAGTATACTTAGAAGTGTGGTCAAGAAAGCTGGCTTCAAATCAGGAAAAAATTAGCAATGTTAAGGTTTTTGGGGAGTAATCAGTGGATTGACTTCAGATTTGTTTTCTGTAGAGATGGCTCTTCCTGAAATTTGGGAGACTGACTGGAGGAGGTGCTGTGGGAGGCAGGGAGACCAGCTGGGAATTGCTGTGATTATATTGGTGAGAGCTGATGGCATTTAGAACCAGGGTAATTCATGATAGATTTGGAAAAATATTGCAAAATATTTCAAATTTATATAATCTTCAAGGGAACCAAAAGTGTGCCTTTTAAATTTCCAGCCGCTTACTGAGTAAAGGATGTTGCTTTTAACTTAGTGGGTAAAACAGAGGAAACAAATTGGGAAGAACAGAAGGAATGACAGAGGCCTGGGGATTAGTAAAGAGCATAGTTTTAGAAAGTGCTTGTGGGATATTAACATGCATAAGGAGTTTAGCATTTGACCATAAAATGGAAATCATGTGTCCAGAAAGGCAGAATTCAGTAAGACACCACGGAAGTGAGCAGATTTTCTCCATCATGTGCTCCCTACCGCAAAGTTCTGCCTTACCTCAGGCCCAAAGCAATGAGGCCAAGCAACCAGAGGCTGAAACCTTTGAAACCATGAACTGAAATAAACCTTTCCTTCTTAAGTTTATCTACCTCAGGTATTTTGTCATAGCAACAGAAAACTGATGAACATAAGTTTTGTCATTGTGATGTGTAGAAACATGCAAATGAAACAAATGGGTCAGTTTGGGGAGAAACACAGGAGAGTGGGATTTCTGAGTTCCTACAAAGGGGATCATTTTAACAAAATAATAATCAACAGAAGATTTTTTACTAGGTCAGAGTAATTGTGACTATGTCAACACATCATTATTAATAGAATACTAAATTAAAAACTATGAACAATTGTATAATTTTATAGAGTATTTATTTAAAAATAACAGAATTTAAACTGTCTTTAAGAAGCTAGAAATAACTGAACACTTACTTGTAAGATTAACTACTTCAAATAGGAGGGATTAATAGCATTGATTTGATGACTCATAAGTTGCCAAGATGATATAAATTATTATTGCTAAATTCTTGGTTATTCCTTCAAACGCCACTGTGAAATCAAATTATGTATTGATAATTTTTCTGCTGGAGTTAGAGACAAAAACAATGTGATCCAGTTATTTCAGTGTCTCTATAGAGCAGATGTTTGATTGTAGCTTCCTAAGGAATGTGAAACTGTGAGAAACAGGCTTTGGCTTACGTGAAGGGGAGAAAAACAACAGGGCAGTATTTATTAGAGATGCAGACTGAAAGGAAGATATATTTAGAAGGAGAGATACTTGAACAAGTTTAAAAAAAAATGTTGCTTCTACAAATGCGGAGTGGGAGGAGCAGATGAAAAGTAGGCAGCGGAACCATGTATAATAAAAAGGGATAATCCCAGAATGAGGCCTCTGAGGATGCCATGAACAGATGTATTAGAGAATGTGTATACAGTGGAGTATTATTCTGCTATAAAGAATGAAATCCTGTCATTTGGAGCAAAATGGATGGAACTGGAGGACTCTATGTTAAGTGAAATAAGCCAGACACACAAAGACAAGTATGAAAGTTTTTCCTCTCAATAAGAAAGCTAAAAATATTCAACCTGGAAATAGAATAGTGATCACTAGAGACTTGAAAGGGTGCATGTGTGGGGGTGGGTGTCAGAAGGAAGGTTGGATTTGATCAATGCACACTTATATGTGTGTATGGAAATACCACCTCAAACCCTTTAATATGTAAGTTAATATATGTTAATAAAAAGGTTTTAAAAAAGAATGTGTATGGAGAAATTATCTTTGGGAGGAGGGACTCCACTTTCTGTATATTTGTAAAAAGAAAAGTTTTATGAAAATTCCCTTTCACCAAAGGGAAAAATTTGGAAGGAAAAAAATTAAAAATGACTGAACCAGTCAGTTACCAGAACACCTGAGTTATAGCTTTGACTGAACTGTGTAGTTTTGGATTAGTTAATGGTTCTGAGCTTCAGTTTCCTTGTCAGTAAATTTTGTGGTAATAATATCCCTGTCATCAACTCTGTGGGAGTAGTTTATATAAAGTGGTGTATGTAGCAGAGCTTTAAAGTTGTAAACCTTAGTGTACCAGTATAGATTTTTATTTTGCATTATAATGACTGAGAAAGAGGTCATTTCATATCTGCTCTGGGATTTGCTGTAGGACTAGCATCCAACAGCCATTCTAGGAAAAAAAAATGCTTTAGGCTATTAGAGTAGCAAGTCTTTGACAGAAAATAGTGCATCTGACTTGGACAAGTTCTGCACAGCTTTTGAAAACTAAGCAAATATTTACTGCTAGAAAGCTGAGGCAAAACAAGAAGAGAAAAGAAAGGGGAAAATTTTAAGGAAAAGAAAGTAGTGGTGCAAAGTACAGAAAAACACATGGCATTAAGAACAAAGGAGGAGGGCTGGGGTGGTGGTTCAGTGGTAGAGTACTTGCCTAGCACATGTGAGGCCCTGAGTTCAATCCTAAGCACCACATACAAATAAATAAAATAAAGGTATTGTGTCCACCTACAACTAAAAAAAAAAATTAAAAAAAGAACAAAGGAGGAATATTGGGGCATTGAGAAAAATTAGGAGGTAGATGGGCTTTCATAAAAATAGATAAGAAAAATATTTTCTCCTTGGATCACAATGTGCTTGCTAGGGATTGAATGTGACTTATCTAATCATACCAGCATATACTTAGTCTACTTTGCCTGAGAAAATAGAACATTTATGGTTCATCTATTTCCTGTTAGTGATGACAAGGACATTTCAGCTGGTTGCATATTAACTACCTTCAAAATCAGATTATTCAGTTGGTGACATAACTATATTAAGCTATCAGAGAGTGTACTGGCTTTATTTTTGCATATTATCTTGGACAAAACCTGGAGTTAGGGAAGCAAAATGTATCAACAGAGATGTTCTCAAAGATCAGAGTGTTCTCATTTGTTTATCTCATTAGCATTGTTTTCCTCTAACATTTTTCCCCTTAACTTTTAATAAGAATAATATTTTCATGTACAAAGTCAAAATTATAATAAATTCTCAAATTGTTTTTCTCTTAACAATATGCTTGCCATAGTTTCTCAAATCTTCAGAATATTAGTAAGTGTTTTATCCTTTCAATTAAAATTCTATTTGCTCTTTGGTTTTTTAAGAGGATTGATGTTACTGGAGTCTACATTGTGATACAAGGGAACTGGAAGTTTATACAACTGATAAAATCCAATGACTATCCTGTATATACATACTTTTGAATGGATAGAGGTATTTTGATTCATCTGTGCTGTGGAACTTGCAAAGTCAAAGAGCATACATATGTTTAAAAATTTTTAGATGTGCTGTCATGTCACCTTTCTTAAAATGACTTTGTGAATTTACCTTCTTACCATCAATTCTTAAGAGTATGTATTTCTCCACAACTTATCTTTTAAAGTTTTTATGATTATATATAATCAAGTTTGTGATTATGATGCTTAAGATCATTGTTACTTTTAGGAGCTCTGTTTGTTGCTTGCCCTTTATCTTGTTTAGGAGGTTTATTTTCTGATTAGGAAGTGCTTCTGTACACATAGCATATAAAAATGTTCTCTTGTATTTTTTCCTGTTAAATGTTTGTGTAGAAACTCTTCAACTGTCTGCAGTTTACTTTTGAATATGAAGCAATTTAGGGGAAA